GAATTTACCTTCACTTCTCTCTTCTCACCATCTACAATCTCACTAATATTTTTTTCACATCTTTCTTCACATCATCTCCACCCCTGGCCCTCCTCTGGATTCTTCTCCTTTCTTCTAGATCCTCAGGTCCATTTCCTACAAATATTTTTTCTCACTCTTCACATGTCTAACTGTACTAGGGGCTTGTAGGGGCAAAAGCCCCTAAAAAACCAAAATACATAAATTTTTTATCAACCTTCATTGGTCATTTATAAATAAGCACTGATTTTCTAGCATTATACTATAGTTTACAACACAAAATTTATACAATATATTATATACAGTAGATACATTTACATTTAAATGGTGGTTTGTAGTGACAATAGCCTCAAAAACAGTAAACTTTTTTATTTTGAAAATAATAAGCATAAAAAACAATTAAAATTTGGTTTAGTTCAAGTTTTATTTACATGAATAGAAATCACTACTTACTTATTGCATTTGATAATTAGTCAGAACCTCTGGATAAACTATGTTTTTTGTATATGAATTGTTTTCTGTATTGTTCTGTTCTCTTGTATTTGCCATATATACTCTGATTCCATCTGATGACTTGACTCTGCTAAATGCAACATATAACTGTCCGTGTGTAAAAACTGGTTTATCTAAGTAAACTCCAGCTTTCTGGAAGGTTTGGCCTTGTGCCTTATTGATAGTTATAGCAAAGGCAAGTCGTAAGGGAAATTGCAGTCTTGACATGTGGAAAGGCATGTTAGGATCTGTTAAGCTTTATTCTAGGCAAAAATATTATATTTCCCTTTCCAGATCCCGTAATAATTTCTAATTTTATGCATTTCTCAAACATGCTTAATACGATTAACCGCACGCCATTAACCAAACCTGACCCTAGGTTTATATTCCTGATTAACATTACTATGGCACCTACTTTTAATGTCAATTTGTGAGGTGGCATTCCTGAGGGAGTTATTGAGTGTAAATATTCAATAGGAATATTCAAACGTTCGGTTGGGTCGTCACTGATTATTTCGTCCACACTAAAGTAATCATTCGCTTCCCCCTCCATTGTTTGTAGGATTTCATTGTTGAGAGTTTGACACTGTTCATTCAATGGACACATTATTACATTATTAGAAAATGTCTTGACATTGTTTAAATAATTTGTTAATTAAAAGTAAAACTAATAATAGATTGATTTCTGAGGATAAACTGTTCAGGAATGTCAATCACATCGAAACCTTTGTTTAATGTGCCATTTCCAAGTTCGAGAAGCCAATTGCAAAACTCGTTTTCACCAGGGTTGACTCGCATGTTTTGTGTTAGTTTAAGAAATTTTAACTTTTTCCAAATTTTACTGTTCTGCAAGCATGCCTCCAATGTTTGAACCTTTCCTTGCATGGGAACAACCGGTAACACTTGTCGAAAGTCTCCTCCAAACAATACAATTTTCCCTCCCATTAGAATGTTTTCATTGATTTGGTTTTCAAATTTCATTATATCTCTTAACAGATGATCAATGCAATCTATAGCGGCGGCAGGGACCATTGATGCTTCATCTATTATAATAATTTTTGATTTTCTCAGTACTTTAGCTTTCTCTGAATTAATTTTAATTGAAGATACTGATCCGGGCTGTACAGGGACTGGTAGTCCAAATAATCGATGAAGTGTTGTTCCTTCTTCTAAGAGCAGAGCAGCTATTCCTGTCCAAGCTGTAGCTAATGCAGTCTGACCTCGTCCTCGAATTATATGTAGAAGGCAAGAGTAAATGAACGTTTTTTCCATATCCTCCTGGAGCTTCTAAAAAAAAAACAGATTATACGTTGAATTTCCTGATATAGAATCTAGAATTTCATCCACAACTAATTTTTGTCCATAATTTAATTTTGAGTACATTTCGGCACCTACAACAGACTCGTACTCTATATTATTATTGTTATTCAAATGATGGTTATTGTTCCGTGGTACTGGTAAATTCAAACTGGCACAATTAAATCCGTTCTCTCTTAGGATTAAATCTATTTGTTGTAACGCTACATTTTCAGCTTCATCTGCACCCTGCATAAACACATCGGTCTATTTGGGCTGATTCACGAAATTTTGATTCTTCGTCAAGGATTAAAAGTATGTGGCAGTGGGGCAAGCCTCGTTTCTGAAATTCTATGACGTACACAAAAGCAATAACCTTTCCAAATACATTTTTTTTTAGGAGGTCCTTTTTCAACTCATTTAATTTACATTTAAATACTCTGGAAACGATATCTGGTCGATCGGCTGGTGCTTCATTGTCTTTCAGTGAAGATAGTATGTCAGTCCATTTAGCGTTGCATGTCATTGTTATAAATAAATCAGGCTTTCCGTATTTTTGAACGATAGCCATTGCATCTTGATAACGTTGAGTCATGTTACGCGGACTACCTTCAAATGTTGATGGCAACACAACAATCTTACCCGCTGTGACGCTTTCTAGTTGTGCTCTGTTCAAAACAAAATCTTGCAATCCGTGGTAGTGTTCAACTCTAAGCTGCGATTGGTGATGTCTAATATAATTTAGTCTATTACTTTCAACTCTGGTGTATAGATCTACAATATATTGTTGAAATAGTTTTTTAGCAGCATGGATATTTGAGAAGCCGGGCCGAACAGCAAGTCTATAGCTGGCGAACTGTAGCATGGTAAGCTTCTCACGCAGTCTTTGACGTCGTTGTCCATTGTGAGTCATTTCTGCGTCCCACCCAGGTTTGCCGCTCGGAAATAACAAAGGATATAGCATTGGATCACAGTGTGGGCTCAATATTGATAAAAGCTTAGGCCCACTTTGGCGGTTGTAAATTACTTCATGACGATTGTGTGGAGGTTCACCTTCTTCTGAATTAAACACTCCAGCAATTTCATCTGTGGAAGGTCTGTTGAATCGTCTAATATCCATCGAAATGTTGTCTACGAATCGAAGTTCAATGTTTTTAATGCTTTCATTAGTCATCATTTCATTAGCTTTTCTATAAGTCTGGGAATATGGGTTATTTGATAATATGTCAGACAATTGAGTTACTATTTCCAACTTGAGGGCACTATTTTCGGTTCTTTGTAGTCTAAGATTATTTGCGACTGCAGTATCAATGAAATATAACTGACCGTATGAAGGGGCTTGTTCATCACCTGGTAATAAGTCCGAAATAAAACGGTGAATTTGACCTTGGACTTTAAGGCAATATGGTCCATTGCCTTGAACTTCTTTTTTCGTGGCAGAGAGTGAGGCAAATGCCATAGCACTATTATACTGTCTTATGTTTTTAATAAGATGTCCATTCCTAAACAACTGTTGTAGTTCATTGTTATTTTCAGTTTGTGGTAGATGTATGAGACCGTTATGGCAGCAAGAGTTGTAGTGACCATTTGTAGACTCTTCAACAAAGTGCAACGCACCATAATGATCATACATTGATCATTCATCAGGCCCAGATTGTGTGTTGGTAACTCGTTAATAATAAGTGGTAATCTAAAAATAGGAGTATCTTCGACGTCATGATGTGGTTGTCCATTCCTTTCCTCATTATAAATTTCTCGCCTACGCTGTCGTCTGTCATGCTGATTTCGAAAGCCAACACCTCGGCGACGCGGCCTTCCTCCGTTGTTCATTACTATATTTAGGTAGAAAAGGAGAAATACGATAAGATAACTATAGATCACCATAACTAAAAATTATGTAAACAAACTTTGTAGTAAACAAACTGAAATTCATAAAAAGTACAGCTGGTATCTATATCAAAGGCTATGAGTACACAGATTTTCAGAAATACAACTAATACAAATCTGTGGCACAGCTGTTTTAATTTCAAAAAAAGTAAACAAATTAAACCCCATGTTGTTTTAATGGGAAAAGTTTTATTCTGTTGTGAATTTATAGTAAAAAAATAAGAAAAATGAATAGTTTTCCCTCAAAATTCACGTCAAGACCTTTAAAATAAGACCCCTCCCATCCTTCTATGGCCATCCAGTCACTCACAATTTCTTTACAAAAATTTGACTTACGGAATTATATATATCGATTTTTACCTAATTTTACATTTAATATAACATAAATTCTAATCTCTACAGCTTATCTTCATCTAAAATATTTAAGTGATTATTTAGTCATTGCTGAGTTTATTTATGAGCACAGTAGAACTTAGTGTTTGTTTTTTTTCCATATAAGTAAATTGGTTACTAATCAGTACGGTCCTTGGTAAAATCAAAATCAGTAGCCATTTGATGATTCAAAACCAAGCAATGCCCTCATTCACGAGCTTTTAAGAGTCCTTGGAGCCTAGACGTTCTTACTCATAAAGCAACTAAAAAACTACAAAGCAAATTTCTAATCTCACAGTATGCTAGATATTTAAATTAGAATCACTTTTTTGGTATTCGAACAAATATTTTGAGGTGGTAAATAACTCTTCATCGGCTGTTAGTAAATAACAAAACTAACAATTAACAAATTAAACAACAATCTTATGGGGGCAAATCCAATGGCCATTGGCGTCAATAGTTAATATAATAGTTATTATAATTTCTAATACCACAGTATACTATTTACATCATAATCACTTTGGTGTTTGAAAAACTATTTTTGGATGTTAATTAACTCTTCAGTAACTGTTTGAAATCATCCAAGATGGCCGCTAGCCTCCAAGAGCTCTTAAATAGTTAGCAGGGCAGAGATATTTCACACAGCCTAAGAATCTCCACTAAAATTTTGTCGTAAACATTTGTCAGATTGATTGACAATACCAAAATAGGCCTATAGTATACAACATACTTACGTACAATATACAACATACATAGGTACACACATTTGAGTGTATGTTTCAAGATGAATAATTTCAAGGTGTGTCGTGTGTGTATGGAATTAAGTTAGATGGACCAAATGTGTGTTGTCGTTGTAAACAAAATTGATTGATTTAATTTTTTATCAATTATTACAATGTATTTCTGTTGACATTCATTTTACTTTAATTATACAGATGCTGCTAAGGACAAAATAATACCCTACAACATTGAATACTGTCCTCATGAAATGCCAACGGACGGTAATTGCACGATGACTCCTAAGTCAGGAATGAAAGGATTTACATTGTTTGATATCACATGTTTCGGCTGGCAGTCGGAAGGACCGATACTTTATGAATTTTTCGACAAAGGATCTGATGATATAGAACACTATCAAGGTAAATGCTGATAAATAAATCAACTCAATTTGATTTTTATGTGAAAATAAAATATGTATCATATGGCTTTTGTAGTCAGTCTCTATATGTGTTTAACTGATGTAATAACTTAAGACCATATAGTCGAGGCGCTGAGGGGGTTTGAGCATGCATAAAAGTGTAACGAAATTTGACTTTTGATTGTTGCTATGGGTACCTAGTAGATGAAGAAAATCGATGTTGTCGCATTTCTAGGTGGTTAATAACATGGGGGGGAGGGGGTGAAGTTGGGGGGCCGCCGCGCACAAAATAGCTTATATCTCGTGAACCAAAAGTCATATGAATACGTTAGACACGTCAAACTGTGCAGAAAAATGCATTCTACAAATAGATTATGTAGTAGTTTCATAGAAATTGACAAGAAGTTACTAAAAATTATATTTTTTAAATTTACGATAAGTATAATCAAGAGTATAATGGTTTTTGTTGTTGTTTAGAACCATTAATTTTTTAATTGACAACTTTTGAGAGTAGTACACTATAGGTAAATAGTACTTCTGTATAATGAAACTATTGCGGTACATAACTTAACAGCTATACAATCCTCAGATCCAATAAACATAACACAAACAAAGGCGCAAAACGCGTCGCGGTCATTGTTCCTGCTGCCTTTACTATTAATGGCGAGTACAGTTCAAGCTGAGACTTATATTATACTTTTAGAACGATGGAGATTCTGAGGATTAATTTTCATATATATAAAATAGTATTGAGGGACTATTATGTAGCGAGAAATATAGTTTGTAAAAGAAGAGAGTTTATAAAATATTTGGTAGTTGAACGTTTCCATCATCTGACCAGGCTGCACAATTGGTGCAACAGCTGTTTCGGCGATCGCGTAAAGGTAGTGTAAACGATACGAGTAGAAAATGTTAAATACAAGCCTTGGCGAGTGCCTTAAAAACTTCTACGAGTGTCGTTAACACTATTTACGCGAGTTGTGTGCATTAATTAACCTGCAACAGTATTTTAATTACCAAAAACCACTACTCAAAACTTAAAAAGAGTGGTTATTTTTTCTTTACCCCTCATTGTCTCTGACAGTAATGCAACGAATCATCGCACCAATCGTTAACAATTAAATTGACCTGAACAGCTGAAGTTATAGTTGAAGTTCGAAGCATTATAATTTTACTTCTTATCTCTCAATCCTTGACCCTATCTAGGTACCAGTGGTGGTTATATTTTGGCCCTTTTGTAGTGGTACCTTATAATTCACCAGAGAACAGTTACATGCCCATATAAGTAGATATCTATTATATATTATGTTTTAGTGATAAATGTAGAATATAATAATATAAAAAAATATATATTTTTCAGCAATGCTTTTAGGCGTAGTAGCAAGAGGTTTGCAAATTTTTGGATTATTCAACTTATAAATGTCTAAATCAACCCGCAAAAATCATAAAAATAATGTTTTTATCCATATTATCCAAATGTTAAGGTTGTGTAAAATATGATTCCTTACGTAGAAATATCAATGTTTTTTTTTTTTTTTTTTTTTTTTTTTTAATACGCATAAAAATAAAATTATAAAAAACTACCAAACTACTTTAATTACCAAATTGTATTTAATTGTTGTATGAGAAATAAATTTGTTGCATCAACAGTAAATAAATATTATACTGCTGTAACAATTTAGTATTTTCACAAAACTTTTCAATAGAATAATTTAATTTTTACCATATGTTTTTACTTTTATCAATATGTCAATCCATCTCTCTTTATCAAACCTTGTATAATATATGGCCAAACAGACCAATAGGTAATTGATTCAATACATTATAATATAGAACATTTTCAAATAACCTTATTTCATGTAAATATATAATAACCTATAACTTTTTGTAACAAAGTTGCTTCAATTTCAATATAATTTTACTTAAATAACTTGTCAAAATTCAAATTTAGCTCTATGGCAAATGAAAATTGTTATAATATATGTGTGAACAGTGGCCTACAATTTTCCGTGATAAAGTCAGCATTGACATATGTGAATGCAACAATGCATCAAACCTTTCTCACTTCTAAGAGTGCTGAGCTAGTATGAAGATATAAATTGTAAACTGCATATTTTAATATAAACAATTTTTAAAAAGTGCATATATTTGGAATAAATTAGTGAAATTTGATTAAAGAAGATCCGTCCTTGTTACAAACATTAATTACTACACAACATCAAGAAATTTAACTGTGAAGAAGACATCAATTTTGGTGAGATCACTCCAGTAGACATTTTCTTTCCTTGGATCGAAGCCATTACAACACTTTTAAACCTAACTTTTGAACTTTTGTACCAGAATTTAAAAGTCAAGAAACTAATAGAAGCTTATATAGAACATAAATTAATTAACCTTTCAGAAAATAATTCGAACATAATTTATATTTCAAAACAAAATTTAATTAGGCTATATATAATCACAAGATTAAATTCAAACGCCGCTCGATCACCCCACCTGAGATAAAGATCCATGCAATATAACCCCTCAACCTAAATTAGAACTATTGTAATAGGCCTAGCCTAAAGCTTAATTTAGTAAATTCATTTGCCACCCTTTGTAAACTTTTGTTGTGAACCCTTAGTTTCTTTTCTTTTACCATCAATTTTCTATTGTAATGAAATAAATTTAAGTTTAGATACTATACATGGAGTTTCCATTGTATTCCTAGCTTGTATTTGTAGCCTTGTTACACTGCATAATTTAAGAGTAAAAGCTCTTTCTAAAAATGTATAGTTAAATGTAGTTGAAATCAAAATTTCCTGATTAATTTACGTCAGAATGTGAAATGTTAACATTTTTTTACGAAAACATAATTTTTATGACCTTTTCAAAACTACATAAAATTGTTATAACCAACCTCAGATTCGGAGATAACTGTAGGGAATTTATTGCAGTTTCAGATGGTGATTTCGTCCACCACCAAAATATATTTTGAACTCTCTTCTTTACAAACTACATTTCCCGCTACATAATGGTCGCTCAATACTATTTTATATATATATGAAAATGAATCCTCAGAATCTCCATCTTTCTAAAAGTATAATATAAGTCTCAGCTTGAACTGTGTTCGCCATTAATAGTTACGGCAGCAGGAACAATGACCGCGACGCGTTTTGCGCCTTTGTTTGTGTTATGTTTATTGGATCTGAGGATTGTATAGCTGTTAAGTTATGTACCGCAATAGTTTCATTATACAGAAGTACTATTTACCTATTGTGTACTACTCTCAAAAGTTGTCAATTAAAAAATTAATGGTTCTAAACAACAACAAAAACCATTATACTCTTGATTATACTTATCGTAAATTTAAAAAATATAATTTTTAGTAACTTCTTGTCAACTTCTGTGAAACTACTACATAATCTATTTGTAGAATGCATTTTTCTGCACAGTTTGACGTGTCTAACGTATTCATATGACTTTTGGTTCACGAGATATAAGCTATTTTGTGCGCGGCGGCCCCCCGGGCGGCCCCCCAACTTCACCCCCTCCCCCCCATGTTATTAACCACCTAGAAATGCGACAACATCGATTTTCTTCATCTACTAGGTACCCATAGCAACAATCAAAAGTCAAATTTCGTTACACTTTTATGCATGCTCAAACCCCCTCAGCGCCTGGACTAATATGTGTATGTGAATTAATGATCACCTGTTATTTAGCATTTGAGTAGTTGGTCAACGAAAGTAACCTTCTGTATAAAGTACAAATGGACGATGGAACTGTCTGGAGGCGTCATGTTGATCAACTACTCAAATGCGAAATAACAAGAAAACATTTCAGAGGGGAGAATTTGATGTGTTTAACTGATGTAATAACTTAAGACCATATGTGTATGTGAATTAATGATCACCTGTTATTTTGTATTTGTTTTGTTTGTATTAGTTTTTCTGTTCACATTAAAATATGAGTTTGATTCAACTGAACTAATTTACTTATTATTTGAAAATGTAACACTACAATAGTTATACTAAACATATAGCGTGTCCAGTGTCAATAGCTTGGTAAAAAAGCTGTGATCTCATTACTTACTAATACTAATCCTTGCCCTGAAATATGCATCCAGAAGTGTTGGCCCCTAATAATTAATCTAATCTAATCCAGGATAATCATGGATAAATAATTATAAAAAGTTTTCTAATGCATTAATGACACCGTGAATTGTTACAGATATATTTGTTTAACTAATCCAGTAATCCATGATTAATTTCAGGTAGAATGACTGGATATTCATATTCAGGTATTTATTCGCAATTCAGGTTGACTCGAGGCAGGGTCGTAATATATTTACTCAATGAGGACGGAGACGGACCTTCTGTCACAATCAATGTTGAGGTAAGGAATTAAAGTCATCATACAAGTAATGCCAATTCATTCTGTGAGTGTTTAATCCCTACCTCTGCATCTAATGTGTTTATACAAATACATTTTTGACATTCTAAAATGACAACTGGTAAAGGATGTTTATAGTTTTGCTTTCATTTTTAAGATAGTTTGCCCCTTAATACCGAGATTTACTACAAGTGATTGAGGAGCTTTATTTAACAAAATAAAAGGTTTGCAATAATACGATAACAAATAAAGAGCCTAACTATACAATTTCAAAATTGAAAGTTGGCCTATAACTTACAACAATGGTCTTTTGGACCGTCTGTTGGTTGGCATACAATAAATATTAACAAGCATCTTTTTACTTTCTCCCCCGATACATAGTCTAAGGAGAAAGTATTGTTTTTGTCAAAATTTTTGAGTTTGAGTTCTGAGTGGATATATCCATTTTGGGCCCCCCTGAACCCAAAAAAGTTGTTTTCAAAGTGATGTCTGTATGTGTGGATGTGTACAGAGCTACAGACCACACCTGCAGTCCGATTTTGATGAAATTAGGTTTATAGGTACTAATCCATGGTATCTAAAGGTATTTTTTAAATTTTTTTTGAAATTTGTATTTTTAATTTCCCCATAAAAACCATAAAATAACGGAAAAATCAGATTTTCTCAAAAATGGCCAGAACTATTTTGATACAAATTTAGTATGTTATAGTCCTTTAGATTCTGAACAAAATGGTTTAAGTCCCATTTCTGTAAAAATTACGGTTCAAAAGTTATTGTAGCTTATGTTATTTTCCCATTAAAAAATCCTATAAAATTACAAAAAATCTGAATTTGGGAAAAACATGGTTCTGATTAAAATTAATTTGTTATGGTCCTTATAATTGTAAACAAAATAATGCAACCCCCATTACTGTTACATTTACGGTTCAAAAGTTATTGCAACTTTTGTTATTTTTCCCTACAAAATTATCATAGTTACTCCCACCGCTTTCCCATGATCAAAGGTTGTTGACAAGCTTATGGGAGAAAGTATGTGTCAGATTGCTGATACCGTTTATTTAATTTTATAACAAATAATGGTTTTGCAAGAAAAATAAGTTAGATTTAGTTAATTTACAATAAAATCAATTTAAACTTGAACGCCTATAAAACAGAAAGAAAAAAATACCTCATTTGCTCTGGTATGGATGCCTATTGACAGCTAAAAATGAAAAGCAATGATTTGCCATATTAGGTCATAATAAAACTGAATACCAGAGACTGTGCGAGTCTTTGAGGGCTTAGGTCATGAGTGTTATCCAAGTTATCAAAGCGTTGAACGAAATGGGAAACGCTGGACCAGCTGATCGTAGTTGTAGTATCTTTAAGGGTTGCCAACCTATTTCGAAGAGTACACGGATTATGCGCCTAATAAAATCACACTGTTTTGTGATGTTTGGTTAAATTCTGGAGTGTGGCAAAAAAATAACGCGATAAAAGTTAAAAGAGTACGGAAAAATTAAAAGAGTATAGCAAAAGTAAGTAAATGCAGCAATTAGCAACTTTCTGTACTATAATCAGTGCAAAGAAGCCCAATTTGTCAGATGAATGTAGGAAAAGCATATATTTTCTCTCCCCCCCCCTCCATAAAAACACACTTAAAAAGAAGCATCTTTAACACTAAGTGTCTTGAGAGATTTGGAGATTGATTATAACATTTTCATAAGCTGACAGCATTATATAACTACAGTAGAACCTTGATAACAATACTTTCAAGGGGATTGTAAAATAAGACTTGTTATCAAGGTTTGTAATAACATGTGATTAGGGGTAAAATAATTTTAAGGGGATTTGAAAATGACACTTATCATCAAGGGCGACTTGTTATCGAGGGTCTTCTTATGAAGGTTCCACTCTTCTTCAGTGATTGCAAACAGTTTAAGTTTTAAGTGTTGTTTTTTTCCAGTTGTATGACTTTGACAGAAATATAACGCATATTGAGTACTTAATGAACGAAATTGATGATTACATGGGCTACAATAATTATCAACGTAAGTTAATACTACATGTAAATAATTTACAAATTTTTCAATAGATTAGTGTAGTTAAATAAGATCAGATCACTGTATACTAATGGTGGGTATATTGTTGATAGCTTTTTTATATAAATCTGAATAGCAGTATTATATTAGATTGAACGTTTTACTAAAATTTTGTGTTGTTTAATGCTTTCCACATATCAAGTAAATCAAGTTTTATACTTTTATCTTTCTTTTTAACCGACTTCCCCACTACCAACAAAAGGAGGAGGTTCTCAATTTGTTTGTGGCGATGTTTTTTTTTTCTATGTATGTTCACCAATTTCTCTGTGATTCTTTTACCGATCAGTGTGGTTCCACCACCAAAATAACCAGGAGAGTTTCTATTTTGTATGTTTAAGTATAATATTTGTTTCGGTGAAAAATTCTGAAAACCTTAAATATTCAACATTTTATTTTGTTTACATTTGTGCAGAGAAGGCAATAAATAATAATAACATTCCTACAGCTGTTAATTGAAACCATTTAAATGAAGCTACAGACAATTCTTCATGAAACAGTTGCTTCATATTGATCAATAAACTATTTCTTGCCATGGAGCCTAAATGAATTACATCGATAAAAATGCATTTTGTTTTGGTTACTATAAAAAATGTATTTTAACTAACATTTGACCTGATTTGTGTACCTATACAGTAATTCTGTTTTTAGTATTGAATATTCTGACTTACAAAAACATATATGTTTCAGTAAATAGCTGAATGATATTGACAAATAAAGGTGTATTGTGAAAACCAAAGCATTCATAAAACAGGTCTAAATATAAATTAAATGCAATTATTCCTTACACGACCTAAGAAGTGTGACAGTGCAAAATCGTCTATTGTCTTAAAAGTGTTAATTAAATATTTTAATTACTAAACATGCATTTGCAGATGTGAAATGTTTATTGATATTCACTACCCAGTTACTATATCATATCAATACTATTATGCCTGCTTTGGAAAGTCCTAGAGGAAGATGATTTGCAATTTCGACTAGGCTATATCTTGATCAAACAAAACCACCTACATGGCTTGCACCACTTTTAGCTGAACCAATCTTTCATATACATATTTCATTTGCTGATGTGGAATGTTTATTAATATTCTCTACCCAGTTACTATAATATATCAATACTATTATGCCTGCTTCGGAAAGTCCTAGAGGAAGATGATTTGCAATTTTGACAAGGCTATATCTTGAGCAAACAAAACCCCCTACATGGCTTACACACCACTTTTAGCTGAACCAATCTTTCTTATAATATTTTCCAAAAGTACTATACGTGTTAACAACCAATTTTCCACTTTTGAGAGATTTTTTAGTGCTGGTAGCTGAGGAATAACTTTCATATTATTCGAAAAGGCTTGAGACATTACTGTATTTCTTTTTATAATGTAGAAGTACATTGATTGCAGGAAACGATGATGTCTGACATTTCAATGTATCTAGAAAAGACAATTAGTTTTTCATTAGGCCTAATGTAATGGACAACTCTTTCTTTCTTAAGGAATATTTAAAAATGTTTATTTTTATACCCATTGATTATGTAACCTGAACATACTCAAGCAGTTTTAAAATAATAATTGTTCTGTGGAACTTTTGATTGTTTCAAACAGTTTTGCTTATCAAAAAACCTCAAGTAATTAATATATAAAAAATTATACAGTCACTAAAAATCATGAAATAATTTATTTTTGTAAAAAAAGACAACCGACATCAAACGCTCTAAATACCCCCGCCGCAGCAAACCTGCAGACTAAGCGAATTTCCATTTGCCTGATTTGATTTTCAATTAAATCTATTCAAATAGCCTAACATTAGGTTTAACGAGTACCTAGGTTTGCTGCCTACAGGGTAATAAAGTGTGTTTTTCAGTAAAATATTAACAGCTTAGTATAAAATAAATCGATTGGCCAAGTTTGATCCAAATATATGCATAAACAAGCAAACTACAAAAGTTTACTTATTCTCCATAAGAATAACATGGGAATTTTTAATTTATAATTTTCTCCGTAACCAATAACCATACAAAAACATTTCAATATACTGAATTATTTGTTTTTTAAGCTCTTCAAAATGGTCTAGAAGAAATTTGGGAAATTTTATGTTTTGAGGGTCAAAAATGAGAAAAACCAATTTTTACCCCATAAATCCCCCCATAAAACCCCGTTCCCATGGTCCGATCATGCTGGCTCGCAAACTCGTTCGAATAAACGTAGGTTTACACGTTTGTACCAAATTTCATCGAAATCGGATCATTTTTGCTCGAGTTATCGTGCTGACGGACACATATATATATAAATATATATATATATACTAGCTGACCCGGCGAACTTCGTATCGCCTAAGTTATAGGTTTCCCCTAAGACAGACCGATGGAAAGAAAGTACCGTTACGTTTAATTTTCAAGATGATCTCGTTCGCATCGCTCAATCACGTCCTGGTTGAAGTTCTTTCGCTACGCTCACTCACCTTTGGGTTGGAGCTCGTTCGCTACGCTCACTCACCTTTAGGTTGGAGCTCGTTCGCTGCGCTCACTTGCCTTCAGGTTAGCTCGTTCGCTACGCTCACTCGCCTCCAGGTTGAAGTTCGTTCGCTACGCTCACTCACCTTTTGGTTGCAAATTAGCTGTTGTCATAAATGTAAAAGAAATAATAGTGCTGCACCCTGTTGGTAATCCTTGTAACTTTAATGCTATTGAACATCATAGAACAAAACCAACTTGTTTAATTGAGATTCAATTTCTCATAAGGTTAACATGGGAAACTCCAGAGCCACTGGGGCGGAGCCCTTTTAAGAATTTCGAAACGGGATATAGTTTACTTCCGATTCGCATACCTACAGAATTTACACACCAAATTTCATAACGATCGGTGAAGTCGTTCCGGAGGAGTTTGCAGACAAACACTGTGACACGAGAATTTTATATATTATATATATATATATATATATATGAATTTGAACGGATGGTGTTTTTGGCTTCTAGGAACATCAAAATGAAAAAGTAAATCGGTCCCGGGACTAAGTCTTACCATGAGACCTACGGTAATAGCTTATTCCCTATAGGGATATTCGCTAAAAGAATGAAATAATTTCAACAAAGTAAACTTTTGTATTAGGCAAGCTCACGTATTTCAAGTCGGCGCGGCTCAAACTGCAAATATGATTGAAATTAAATATTGTGTGTGTATTTTGAAAATCAATAAATTGTAGCTGGATAACATAAATATATAAAAAACATACTGAACTGTTTTGTTTAAATATTAAAGGAAATATTTTCTTGTATTTTATGTTTACTTCAGAATAAATGTATTATGAAAATAAATAAATTCTTGATCAGCATTGTACGTGTTATTAAATTTACGGAAAGTAAATAAAGATACATCTTATAACACTTAAAAAAGTTTTAAGTGTTATAAGACGTATCTTTATTTACTTTCCGTATGAAAATAACACACACAAATGTTCTATATGAATAGGAAAATAATTTAGTTTGATATTATGATAGGGAAAAGAAGCTAGTTTAGTATTAAAACGTTACTTTTCCTAGTTAGAAACATTTAAATGCGTTATAATCTTTTTAAAGATACTCGTTAATACCGGACACTATAATTTTGATCTCTGATTACAGTAATAAAATAACACTTAACGCATAACTGAGTTAAAATTTAAAAACGTACGTTTTCATGTCCCTGGCCTTTTACTTCGTAGATACTGGATTTGTAGTTTATTATTATGTGTTTTTATATTTTTTGGGATGGAGGCAACATATTACACACATTTATTTAGTTTTAAATAGGTTCTAGGTATTTTTTTCGTATTTTTAAAGTCTCGAAATTCACGACCATGACGTGTCCCTAGGGTACATTTTCCAACTTTCACGCTGTTTTTAGACTAATTATTCATGCCGAAATATATAAAGCCATATTTTTATGTCACCAATGGTTATTAAATTTACAAAAAAGGAGCATATTATACGTTTATGATTGCTATCATAAAAATTTCAAAAATTAAAATATCGCCATATTTCAATGTTTTATACACAAAAGAAGCACACCTATATACAAACATAACGATTTTTCGGGTCTCAGGTAAGTTTTTTCGGAGTTATACAAACTTAAAAAGATTTTTTTGGCTTTTTTCCAATTTTTTGAGTTTTTTTATTTTTTTCTAGAAAGACCAAATATACCAAAAGCTCAGTGACCTTTTTATTGTATAATGGTCATAAAAGTAAATAGGTTTATAGCAAAACATAGTTATAAAAATAATATTAACTATTTTTAATACTCATTTAAACGTCCGTTATGGTCGTGACAGGATTTTGTGTTTTTCCACTAAAGATGCTCTTTAAAAAAAAAACTACCAAAGATATTGCGTTACCATGGACAATTTATGAAACTTCAAAAGTTAATGAAATAAAAAAACTAATAAAAGTTTTGAAAAAAGGGGAAAAAAATTTGCAAAGTGCTTTTCCTGAAAACGTACGTTTTTAAATTTTCACTCAACTATGAAAAAGACATGCAGATTAACACCTTTAGTTATAGATAGTCACCTGCAATATGGACACCCTCTTTCAATTTTGTATCAAAAATCATCATAGAGCCGCGCCGACTAAAAAAATACGTCAGCTTGCCTAATACAAAAGTTTACTTTATTGAAATTATTTCATTCTTTTTAGAGCGTTTGAAGTCGGTTGTCTTTTTTTACAAAAATAAATTATATTTTCAATCATTGTTGGGATACAAAAATATTGCAATTTTTTTCATCAAAATATATTCCTCTATTGTTATGGCTAATATGTAAAGAGAAACAAGATTATAAAACTCAGACAATTTGCATGATATTAAAATTGCCCATAGCAGCAAAACTGGGGAATTGCTTAGTGATGGTTAAATCTGTTTTAAAAAAAGGATATTGTTGCAAATGGAAATGTAAATAACTTAATATAACAAAATATACACATTACAATTATCAAACAATGTTTAGGTTTCTGGTAAACCTAAAACAAAAGAAGTATTGTGGTCCAAGACTTAGGTTTTACTTGAAGACTGCAGTTATTACCTTCATGTTTTCCAGTAAATGATAATGCATCAAGTTTTATTAACAGATTTTCCTTCCAACCATCACTCTCTTCTGTATGTCTGGTCTACCACCACCTCTGCTGGTAGTGAGTGTGTTAAAATAAACTTGGATTTATGTTTCAGCTGCGCAAGACCTTATGTCCACTCTGGCTGAAATACTGTATAAAGACTTGAACAATGAATACTACATTCGAAGAATTATATCTTCAATGGCCATGGTATGTGACAACACATTTAGCTTTTTAGTACCACAACTTTTAACCACTATGTTCCAAAGTCCATTGTAATTTCCGTCAAAAGAAACACAACCAAAACCATAGATTGAGGAATCGTAACCTTTTTAATACTTTTTTCATTGACTTTTTAATACTTTGACCATACAAAGTAGGTATTTTAAGCCAAGTATGAATGGAGATGAGTGTAGGATTAGTGGCAAGATCTTGTAGTCTTGTTAGTGACTAAGGCCGACTTATTCCTTAGACACAGCTGTTTTAATAGTCCACACAGCTAATGACAACTAAGGGACCTACAGTTTATAGTGGAATTCGACCACATTTTTGCCTTGGTATTAACAAATTGGTCTATTTATCAGGATAATACTGCGGATAGTCGTAGTACTCAATAGTGCAGATGATAATCCACACCAGGGAGTATCGCATCCACAGTGCATGCCTCCACAATTTGTGACCTCTATTGTTCTGATCTGGTGTTAATGATTTGTGGAATTATTGAGCCGTTTCTCTATCTATGACTAAGACTTGAAGATCCACTTTTTAAGAGGATGGTTCAGTGGTAGTTATTTGGATGAGTGGATTCTTACAGAGTTCCACCTCAAATCAGGCATATTTTGCTATTTTTTATTGATTTTTACCGTGTCTGTGTTAACTATTGTTTTATAAGAACTAGAGAGTCTAACAGTGTTTCAATAAGAACAACTCACAAATTTCTCCCTGAGCATTTGATACAAATAATGTACATTTTCCCCAGATTGAGTATGATTCAGCGGAGAGTATGAAGCTTGGAATTTCAACAATACTCTCTGTTTTGGTCAACGGAACACTGAAAGGGACATATTTATTGGACGACGTACTAGAAATGTACACTGGGAGGATACTGCTGAAACTCGCCAAAGTTTATCTGAAATATGCTGTAAAACCTGACCATACACCTCGACTGCGGGCAAAACACGTTCACCAACTTTCCAGGTGAAAATTTCACTTCTTTAATTTACTCGAAGTACGTTATTATGTTCTATTACAAAAAATCGGTGTAAACAAGAAGGGATACTGAAACACAGCAAAGTAAATAATATTTTCTTACTTCATTTTATTAATTGTGGATTATAATAAACTATTGTAAGATTTCAATATTACATTAAAAAATTAGAAGATATATTCTTTTCAAAGATTATTTAATATTAAAAAATATTATCTTTTTAAATTATTAGTGGATTATTTTAAATTGAACATCTTTAAAATTCAATAGTAGTTAAGGTCATGTAAATTAGGAATTCAACGCCAATTAATTTTTCAATTTTTGAGATGACCAACAAATTAACAAAAGCGAAGAGTAGAGAAAGAGTTCTTGAGCCCATGCGTATCCCAGTCTTCACTCTAATTGACACATTCTATAACACCTCAAACCAAACCTGGATGCCTCAAAATTCATTATTTCTCAAAGTTTTTAACTGACACATAAAAACTCTACAGTCAACAGTCCATAGAGACATAATACCTCTATAAATTAAAGAGTTTAAAGTTTAAAGCATTTTAGATAATAAATCAAATGATTTATTATTTCTTCAGATGAGGTACCTAGTGCTTTGTCACTGGATTGAGAAGTTATTTGAAACTTTTTTATCATCATAATGTGATTGATAATTTAGGTTACATGCTAGTATCCTTATTACTAATCATTCACTTAGTGCAAATAATATTGTAATTACATAGGAGAAAGTTTTATTCTAAGTGCTTAACAAATTTTGAAGAATTTTCATCTCCAACATTTACTAAATCCCACATTTTACCCTAATATTTTATTTTGACTTATAAAATGTTGTTTTATGTTTTCAGAAATATTATGGATTGTGTGGATATGGCCGTTATTGCTCAAGATAGAAACGTAACTAAACTTGCTCCCGAGGAAAACATCAGCTATGATGTGTACGACAATGTTCGTAACCTAAAATATTATTTTTCAATTAATTCTTGACATATTCATTGGTAATTTACAAAATCTTTAGCTTTTACTGCACTAGTGCAGTGTTATGTGTTTGTCAGTGTGTAAATGATATACGATTGACCCTTAATAATGTTGGCCACATTAATACCATCTTTGCTTAATCTGAACAGCCATTTATAGTAGTTTATGAATGTTTCATACATCTACGCTAGGAACCCGTCAGTTGAATAGTCTAACGGTTTATTAGACGAGGCTGTCTAGCATTAGTGCTGTAAGCACTTCTAAAGTCGTGATTAAAATACTGTAATCACTCCTGAAGAGTCTCTGATAATTGATAGGAGCCCAGTCAAACATCAAGTAAACTTACAATCTGCAGTATTCTTTTTATAATCTCTGCAAAACGCAGAAATTTGCCTCTCACCATTATTCCAATAATAGTCTCCCGTACCTAAGTCATCTCACCAAGCTATTTTTTTATTTTTTTTATTTTTATTTTATTTTTTTTAATACGGAGGAAGAATTCCGTCCATGACCAAAACCGTCCTTGTCTTTTTCTTGCAAATAATCCTCTAAAAATCGCTTAAACAAACCGTTACACCTACAACACTAGTTATAAAATAAATTCCCCATTTCATTTCAATACAAGTTAAAATTCTATGAAATAAACATCCAACATAGGATAGTATTCTTCACCTACCCAGCAACACTTTAACTTAAACTTTATATTCCCTGAAATAGTATTTTTCTACCACACTGAAAATGTAGGTAACTGTTTAGCTTCCTATTGTCGAATATGATTTTATAAGAACATAATTATTTTAAGATAAAGTATGTAAGTTTGTGACCCCATTCATAGAACTGTACCTCAATAATAAAAGAAATTTGATTTGATTCTCAAAGATAGTAGGCATATAAATGCTTTTTACTAAAAAGTGAGCAATCAAGTTTGCTCATTTTGTCACAATCAACTAGGCCTATAACGTTTGTCTGGAAAAGTATTTTTTGTAGGGGAAAATAATTGCTCATTATGTCAAACAAGGCGTTTTAACATGCCTTTTTAAAATTTGTAGCTAAATGTCGCCTCCAATGACATGGCCGAGGCACTGATGATTTCCATGTATTTGGTGGGTCGAGTTCAGCCTTATGGAGCGGTGGGGCGGCAGATAAGGTCGACAGAAGGAGTTTCTGAAATGTATTCCTACGTAAGTTACCTCTACATAGCTAGATTTTTCTATTCAATTCAGTTCTATAGTACGTACATTTCAGAGATATTCTGGGGTTTGCATGCATGTAAAATGAAAATATGTACCTACTTATATTTTTGGCTTAAACACACCCAGTTTGACTCAATTGATTTTAAAGAATTGATTTGTATTTTACAATGGTTATTTTAGCTATGCAATTTAGGAACCAAATGTGGTTGTAGTCACCATATAAATTTACTATTCACCATTGAGTTTTGGATACTAGGGTAAACACCATGTGTATGTAAAATATTACAAAATGGACCACCTACAGAGTATGCTACTGTTAAAAATTAAATTTTATCTTTTAGTGCTTGAAAATTTGATGATTCATGTAACATTAAAGATCCTACAGTTTAGAGTAAGTTAGTTGTCTTTTTGGTTTGGCTAAAAAATTTGGTATTTACAACGTAAATCAATAAATAATTGCTGTACAAACTGTCAGTGATTCCATTTCTACCATGATCATTTTTATTCTAAAACCGGTGGAAAGTCTCCTGCTCTTCATAGTCTAAGATCTTACGTATTCACAAATTATCTCTGATGTAATACCATGTGTTAGTAGTATAAAATACGAAATATAAAATTAGTGATTTACAGACAGTATTGAAGACATGCTTTAACTAACCCATTTGATGAGAGCGTTAGTTGAAGTGAATTTAGTTCAGGAGAAGTCTCAAATTAGTGTATTCTTTTTTGAAAGTATATGTTGTAAATGGATGAATTATAAATTCAAAATACATTTGAAATGAACTCTGCCCATTTATTGGTTTACAGGTCAACAATGCAGATGGCTTGGTAGATGTGGCTGGTTCAAATATCACCTCCTATGTTAACATCTCAAAAAGTCTGGCCAATACATTCGATGAAAACCACGACTTAATGCTTCAGGTATTGTAACATAATTGTGAAAAATCAAATGTTTTAAATGATAATCAGGGGGAGGGGCTAGGTAAACTATTATGTGTCTCAATATGTTTTAGAAATTAAATTTGGTAAAATTTTTGATAATGTAGTATAATCACAAAAAAAAAACAAAAACTAGTTAAAGAAAGAACATTTTAATCTTAATGTCATCCCAACACTAACTCAAATCATCACAACAAAAACATAAACGAACATAAACCAAATGCTTTCAACAAGACAGTAAAATAAAGACTTTTAAACATGTAATCCAATATCACACTTCTCCCCCTTCAGATAAAGCTCCACTTCTCTTACAGTCTTACGTAGTTGGTCTGCGTGTTTACGCTTCAGAAGTCCACCACACGAACTTGGTAGGATAGCTCACCATTTCTTGATGTAATCACTCCTGGAGTCCAGCCGACACCTAGTTCTATCTGTACCCAGACTTCTTCCCCCTCTGAAAATTCCCTATGTCTACTTTTTCCATGGTGATAATACTTTTGTTTAAAAATCTGATTCTGTTATCATGTCTTTAACCGTGGGCTTTAAATTGTCCAATGGAGACAAAGTCTTTGGCAAAAAACTGTTATGAAGGAGGTTTGTTCGTGGACTTTTGTGGCGTGTTTCTGTTTGCAAACAGTAGCTTCACCAACTTTTGTGTTTGATCTTGCCTTCTCGATTTGAAGGTTTTGATAAACGGTTCAACTTGGCCATTCGTCTTTGGATGATACATGTTGTACTGCAGACATGTTTGATTGTGTTATCCTTGCAAAACTTCTCAAAGACCTCTGCAGTGTTTACCCTGTAACCATAATGTAACTAAAATGTACAATGTAACCATATGCTTTCAACAAGACAATGAAATAAAGACTATTAAACATGTAATCCAATATCACAGATACCATGAATAGGTTACAAATTACAGAAAATAATTTAATTTAATATGGGCTAACTTTTTTTAGTTGAATTTGTACTTCCAAATTTTCTTTTTTTCAGTTATATATTTCTGTTATTTCAGTTATATATTTCAGTGATATATATCTAAACCATTATTTTTTTATTTTTTTTTATCTAACACCTCTCGATTTGTAAGGTTGCACTCTTACAGTTGAACATTCCACAAACATAGATGTGATTTCTTAGCAACAAATAACATATTTTATTGAACATTAATTGGCATAAATTACCCCATTGAACATTGGTCCCCAATTGGCAGCAGCACAATTTATTGGTAAAAAAACTAATCATAGCTGGACAATATTAATTGAATGTGCTGACTGCTTCTAAAAAAAATGTTATACAACTTTTTTTACATTACATTTCATTCCAGTTTGCACCTATCAAGAAAAATCTCTTTTGGTGGGCGCAAAACAACATCAACACCGAAATCATCATGGTCGGGCTGGCAGAAAGGCTGTACAGACCTGGTTATTACTATGTCCCAAAAGTGGAAGCCCCTGTCCAAATCTTCATGAAGGTGAAGAAGATGGAAAAGACTACAATTAGAGGAGTGGCTACCCAACTTGACCCAACGCTAGATAGTGACACACTGGACAAGATAGTTCTAGTGCACCGCTTCATACTGCCACCACTGAGCAAACTATTTATAACCTTCAAGTTTGACGGGAATAGTTCAACTTCGTCTTTGAGGGTGAGTAGGATATGTAATTGTTATACAGTACAGTAAGAACTGAACTAACAGTTGACAAAATAGTTCTGGTGCACTGCTTCGTTTTTCCAGCAAACTGTGATCTTTTAATTTCTACAGCTCAACTTGGTCTTTAAGCGTAAATGGGACAACTGGTTTTTGATACAGGCGTACAGTTTATGCTATGGCATTTAGGCCTACAGTGGAGGCTGCTAACATGAAAGATGTGGTGCATTATCCTCATCTGTGAAAGTGCTGCCATTTTTTAAGGCTCTTGCCCAGGAATTGGGTTTTGCATTACTTCAGGCTAAGTCTAGGTGTAACGATATTATCACTTCGATAAAATCGATAGGGGATTGGTGAAATATGAAGTCACATACTCTATAGGCCTGCTCGCTCCCCAATTTCCTGCACATTGATGACCAAGGTGCAGGATAGGGCGGATGTCGCTCAATAATTGCATAGATAAAGGCATTTTTTCTCCTTCCTTCTCAGAATACTGCTTATATAGTAGCGGCAGAAACATTAGTCAATTTCTACTAAATAAGGATATCGCCATTAAAACAAAACTCATAGAAATCAACTAAAAAATTATCACAACAACAATTGTTACAAACTAAACAACAACAACTAAATTGACTAAAATTTCAGGTATTGATTAATTTTAACGAGCGACCTAACTGGGAGGCCTTGTCTGGAGCTAATGTTGTTTCACCACAAAACCCAGACGTGGTTATTCCATATGACATTGTTGAAAGAGAACACTTCTACTTCATGGGAATCCTTCCAGATAAAAGTGTGAGTATACGTTTTCACCACGAGAATCAGCTGTTTATGAAATGTTACTAGATGAGTAAAAGTAACATTGCAGGCTAGGAGCAAAACTGATACTTTCACTTATGTTTATTGGCAGTTGATTTAATTACAATATAAATCAGTAAATTTAGGTTAAAATACATATATGAGTGAAAATTTAAAAACGTACGTTTTCAGGAAAAGCACTTTGCAAATTCTTTTCCCCTTTTTTCAAAACTTGTATTATTATTTTTATTTCATTAACATTTGAAGTTTCATAAAATGTCCATGGTAACGCAATATCTTTGGTAGTTTCTTTTTAAAAGAGCATCTTTAGTTGAAAAACACAAAATCCTGTCACGACCATAACGGACGTTTAAATGAATATTAAAAATAGTTAATATTATTTTTATAACTATGTTTTGCTATAAACTAATTTACTTTTATGACCATTATACAATAAAAAGGTCACTGAGCTTTTGGTATATTTGGTTTTTCTAGAAAAAAATAAAAAAACTCAAAAAATTGAAAAAAAGCCAATAAAATCTTTTTAAGTTTGTATAACTCCGAAGAAACTTACCTGAGACCCAAAAAATCGTTATGTTTGTATAGAGGTGTGCTTCTTTTGTGTATAAAACATTGAAATATGACGATATTTTAATTTTTGAAATTTTTATGATAGAAATCATAAACGTGATGGTCAGGGACAAGCGGTACGGTCGTGAATTGTCTGGAATAATCTAAATCTTTCGAAACAATCCTTCAATTATCCTGTTAGTTATAATAAAAATATGTGTTTCAATTGAACTAAAATGTTCAATTTACAATTATATTAAAGTTATTGTCACGACCAAACACACTATAATCCATAATGCTGGATTGGTCGTGAAAAAACCCGCGATGGTCGTGAAACTTTGGTCGTGAAATTACGTGTTATTTGGCTCTGTTCTGGTGGTAGCCCTGCACCTCATGTTCGAGGATACAAAGTGGACTTCTACGTTAATCTAGCAATTGAAATATCTTATAAACAAAAATTAACACCATGTCTACTTCATCGAATGACTACGTACGGTCATGGACACACCAAAATTACAAAAAACACAATCTTTCCTTTATTAATCTTGTAATTACTCCTTTCAACTCGAAACGACCGGCACTACAATCCTGACGTACACCCCGAACTAGTCTCTAAAACCAACTGACTCCATCGACGCCAGGCTTGCCACTGTCGTGCTCCAAAGTTGAAAATTTTTCCCAAATGGTCGTGACGCCAAATCGAGGGACAGACTTATTTTGTCATGGTAGTCAGTTTGTAATGAAAATAAAATTATAATATGCTCCTTTTTTGTAAGTTTAATAACCATTGATGACATAAAAATATGGCTTTATATATTTCGGCATGAATAATTAGTCTAAAAACAGTGTGAAAGTTGGAAAATGTACCCTAGGGACACGTCATGGTCGTGAATTTCGAGACTTTAAAAATACGAAAAAAATACCTAGAACCTATTTAAAACCAAATAAATGTGTGTAACATGTTGCCCCCGTCCCAAAAAATATTAAAACACATAATAATAAACTACAAATCCAGTATCTACGAAGTAAAAGGCCAGGGACATGAAAACGTACGTTTTTAAATTTTCACTCATATATTTGAACAGTTTTAAATATAAAATGAAACTAACATTATGTTACATAGTTTTTACTTCCATTTCAAAATCATGAACAACACAAAAACAAACAAACAATTAAGTCAGCTGAAAACTATTTAAATTAATATATCTGTTTTAAGACAGTACAGACTCTTCCCCCATGAAATAATTCAAAGGATACTGTAGATTCTATATCTTCCGAAGTTGATTTATGTGCCGTCTCCATAGCATGTCATCAACAGCAACGGAGTACATAACTCTTCCAATTCTTTTCTTTATTTCGCCTTTTCTCCAAACAATTTTGCCATTTTTCACCATTTCTCTTACCAAAACATGTTCACCTTCTTTGAATTCTCTTATGGTTCCTTTGAAAGATGTACATCCTTGTTGGGCTGTGCGAAAGGTAGGTTTCAACGTTGACTCTAATGAAGGTCTCAACACATCTAACGAATTCCGCAGTTTTCTTCCAAACATCAACTCTGCCGGACTTTTTGTTGTTGCTGATGTTGGTGTTCGTCTGTGAGATGAAAGAACTTTAAGAAGTTTTTCTTTTAGGTTTCCATTTGTGTCCACTTCTTTTCTTAAGTACCTTTTCACTTCTTGAACATAGCGTTCTGTAAATGGTTACATACCTTACGTCGTCAATCCTAAAATAAGTCTATGGCCTAGTTTCGAAACATCAAGGTTTCATTGTCGAGCCTCTTGCCTTTTAAAAACATTGTGACATCTTGTCGTCGTCATTATACACAGTACATTTAACATAAACACACGAACACGGACATATACTATTTACAAAAATGAGTGCGCGGCCGGCCATAAGTACCGCGGTGACGGACACGATGCAACTAACCGACTCCTGTCTGTTGACATTGACCTTGGAGGGGGTGAAACAGCTGATTGTGAGCGCTTCCGTTATCAATGTCCTCAATCCTATCAAATATTATATTACGGCCAAAATTGAGTTTTTCATTTAAAATGTCGTGAGGATGTTTTTTTGTTGCTTTGTAGATTTCTAAGCTTTCTAGAACATTCATTAAAGAGCCTTTGGTGCATTTGTGTAGAATATTCAAGCTAACATTGCAGCTATTAACGTTGTGGTTTTCGTTAATCAGGTGTTCGGCGAACTTGGAGTGTTGGGTTCTCAATTTAGGTTTGGGTTTAGGTTTAGGCTGGAGGCAATGATGAATAAATAGCGTTCTGCTTGACCATTGCTCTGCGGATTATATGGTGCAATGGTTCTGTGAATAATACCATTCTGTTTTAAGTAATTACTAAACTCTTCTGATTTAAATATTGAAGCATTGTCACTCACCAATGTATAAGGTAGGCCGAATCTTGCAAAAATATCTTCCAAAAACTCTATGGTTTTCTTTGATGTTGCTTGTGTCATGGGACAGGCTTCTAACCATTTAGAGAATGAATCTACAACCAGTAAAACGTATTGATTTGATACAGGTCCTAAGAAATCAACATGTATTCTTTTCCACGGTGCATTTTCTGGTTCCCATGGATGCCACGCTTTAGCAGGATTCTTCTGATTTCTTTGGCAGGGTGTACACTGTTTCACAAATTGTTCTATATCGAGATCCATGTCTGGCCACCAGACATAACTTCTTGCAAGGGCCTTCATCCTAACAATTCCTGTATGAGACGAATGTAGATCATTCAAAACACGTTTTCTCAGAGTGCGTGGTATAATAACTCGATCGCCTCTCATTATACAACCGTCCACTATACTCAATTCATCCAAGTGTTTTTTATACTCCTTATGACCCAATGGTTTACCTCTTAGTAAGCAATCGTAAATATCTTTCATTACAATTTCCTTCTGAGTTTCCTCTTGAATTTCGTCCAGCTTCACAGGCAATACATCATTGAATTGCCTAATTTGGTATAAACACGCTCTGTTTATGTCATCCATGAAATTTTCATCCTCTTTTCCTATTATCGGTGCTCTCGAAAGGGCATCAGACGAGACATTCTCCTCAGAAGTTATATGTTGAACCTCGTAGTCAAAACCTTGCAGGAATATGGCATACCTTAGAAGTCTTTGCGCAGTCATTCGTGGTAATTCCTTTGCGGGGTTGAAGATAGAAACAAGTGGTTTATTATCTGTTCTTAAAATAAACCTTTTGGAAAACACATATTGAAAAAACTTATTTACACCCCAAAAGATTGCTGTAGCTTCTTTATCGATTTGAGAATACGACCGTTCCGTGAGCGTAAGAGTGCGAGAAGCGAAACATATTGGTCTTTCCGATCCATCCGGGAGAGCGTGTGAAAGAGTAGCTCCAAGCCCTACTGGACTGGCATCAACTGACAGAATAATTGGTAATTTAGGGTCATATGGAACTAAAACTCTATCTGAAGCAATTTCCTTTTTTGTTTGAAGCCAAGATTTCTCACATTCTGAGGTCCAGGTAAACTTTCTACCACCTCTGGTCAGTTCATACAAAGGGTGTAACAAGCTTGAGAGATGATTGACAAACCTTCCATAATAGTTAATGAGACCCAACCAGCTTTTAAGCTCATCTTTATTGGTCGGTCGGGGAGCATTTACTACCGCCTCCACTTTGTCTTTACATTTGTGAATACCCTTTTCTGATATTTCATGTCCTAAATACACAATCTTAGCTTTAAATAAATTACATTTCTTACTATTGACTCACAAGTTATTATTGGATAACCTTCTGAAAACTTCTTTTAGCCGATCTTTGTGCTCCTCTAACGTTTTACTCACTACTCTAATGTCATCGTAAAACACCGTAACACCTGGAATGTTGTCTAGAGCTTGAGATATGAATCTTTGCCACTCAGCTGGAGCATTTTTGATTCCGAACATGAGTCTATTGACAGCATATACACCCTTATATGTGCTAATGGCCTGTACTCTGGCACTCTCGTTGTCCATGGGAATGTTTAAATACGCTTGAGAAATATCAATAGTCGAAAAATACTTACAGCCACTCATGCTCGCAAATATGTCATCCAATGTTGGAATTGGATAATGATCAGGTTCCAAGGTCTTATTAACTGATACTTTGTAATCAGCACAAAGCCGAATATCCCCGTTTGGTTTAACTATCGGTACTATAGGTGTACCCCATTGACTGTAGGTCAACTTTGAGAGAATTCCCTCCTTTTCTAACCTGTCAATTTCATCATTGACTTTATCCCTTAAAGCAAAAGGAACAGGGCGGGGTGGCAGGTAAACCGGCTTAGAGTTTGGTTTCAAACTCAAATGAGCTTCATAGTTCGGTACTTTACCCACTCCTGGTAAGAAAACATTAGGAAATTCACTCTTAAGATTCTCTATAAACTGGTCTTTTTTATGATCTGTTTGATCTTCTGATACCTGGTTTAATGAAGGAAGCTCAATTTTGAACAACTTTAACCACTCCCTTCCAAAAATACTGTCTACGTTCCCCCGAATAACATACAGGTTGCCCACAGATATTTGATTTTCATAGCAAATTTCGACAGTCGCAAACCCTACCGGGCGAATTATTTCTCCTGTATAGGTTCTTAACGGCATTCTTGTTCTATTTAGGTAGAATCTTACCTGGAAATAATTTCTTAAACAGATGCAGCGGTATAGTACTGACCGCAGCACCAGTATCTAACTCAAAAGAGTTACGCTTATCGTCAATGGTGCAGTCTAACATAATCTTTCCCGGCCTGTTTACCATTTCGGGTTGATATGCATCATCCGAGAGCTTAGACAATTTAGTACATTTCTTCTTTCTATCCACAATGGATAACATTGACATAAAAGGTGGATTTTGACACTCACCTTCCTCTTCATACTCATTTCCTGTCGAAGCGTCATCAGCTTGTCGCATGTTTTGTTTCTTTCTCCGACAAACTTTGCTGAGATGTCCTTTCCTCTCACAATTCCAACATTTAATGTCTGCTGGAATTTCGCACGCACTTATGTGATGGTGTCCCCCACACCTGAAACATGATATTTTACTACCCTTTCCTTGCAAATATCCAGAGCTTTTCTTCCCTCGAATCTGAAATTGTTCTCCAACTTTTGATTGCAAATTTGATTCTTGGATTTTCGTTGTTTCACTTTTGATTTGCTCAAAGTTACTTGCTATTTCAAGACATTGGTTAAACGTTTTATCTTCGTGAATTTCAATTAATCTAGACAGCAATTTTCCATCATGAATGCCCGAAATAAACTGTTGCCGCAGATGAACGTCAGATGTTGATGCATTACATTTTGGACATTTAAAATCACATTTACTGGCTAAGGTTTTCAGATCTTTGGCGAAGCTGCCTACAGATTCACTCGGATTCTGGATTCGTTTAGTGAACTTATGTTGTTCTGCAATAATACTTCCCTTAGGTTCCAGTAATAATTGTAAAGCTGCACATATTTCGTCATAACTTTTATCCTCAATGTCACATGGGCTTAGATTAATTCTCAGGTCGTGAAATACTTTAGGTGTCAATAAATTGATCAAATATTGCTTTTTCTTTAATTCTGACATGATTCCGTTTAGGTCAAAAAAGTTGTCTAGCCTTACCATGTATGAACTCCATGTCTCATTGTCTTCATCAAATTTATCAAAATTAGAACAGAAAATAGGTTGACTGGGTGTTAATATACCTTCTTCTTCTAGCTCCTGGTGTCTCTCACCCTTCCTCCTCCTCATCCTCGTCGCCATTGAACAGTTTTAAATATAAAATGAAACTAACATTATGTTACATAGTTTTTACTTCCATTTCAAAATCATGAACAACACAAAAACAAACAAACAATTAAGTCAGCTGAAAACTATTTAAATTAATATATCTGTTTTAAGACAGTACAATATTCCTAGTATTAAAAAATAGCCATACCATTGGTTATTATTAAAAGCCATACTGGCTGGATTCCGACTGATGATTGGCTTATTGATTGGTTTGCTAATTTTATCTATAGCTTTTTCATCTATAAAATTGGTACTAGTAAACAAATTGTTTTTGGGTTTCTCATTCTGAATGTTGTAGAAGTGGATCAAATCAAATCAAATCAAATCAAATTATTCTTTACTTTATTCATTTAAGTACAATTGTACAGGAATAGAGTCAGATCTTACAAAATAAAATGTTTTACATTGAACTAAAAATAAGACAGAATATTTATTTTATTTGTTCTCCCAAAACTCTTCAAGAGAATAAGGGGCAATTTTAATCAAATACTGTTTCAGACAATTTTTAAACTTTTTTGTATCATTTTCAGTTAGAATTGTTGTTGGAAGATGAGACATAAATTTATTTCCTGTGAATTTCGTTTTCTTTTTATAAAATTCTAGATTGTGTCTATCAATTTGAAATTGAGAACGAGTGTTATAATTATGACTATTTTTGTTTGATGCCTGAGTTTTTGTAATATTTTTCGCATAAATAATAGTTTCCAAGATATATAGTCCATGAACAGTTAGTATTCCAAGATCGGTAAAAATATGTTTTACTGAAATTTTCCTAAATTGGATGGACTATTCAATTTAATGTCTATAAGGTACATACGTTAACGTCATCAGTAACAATGAGGGAGTTGTAAAAATTAATTGAATTAATGAATTGTAATTAATTTTAGTAATTTTTATGTTATATTTTAGGTTCCAGTAAATTCCACCGTTGACTATTCTTTTGATCTTCATTTTGTGAATTGCCATATCTGGGAAAATCAGTGGATTAATCACTATTGTTTGGTAAGTAAATCGCTCCTACTTTTCAAATGCTTGATTTGCAAAGGGTATCATCTTTGACCGATAAGTCAATGGTATCATAATGAATAATCACTAGAGGTTGACTATTCCTAATTGTAATTTTTATACAAAAAACAAAACCGGTACCGGTAATACACTGCTGGCAACTTGCACTTGGTTGGCAAAAGCCAAATTATCTTTATCAAACAATATGCTATAGGTATATAACTACAGTAGAACTCCAATTATCCGAACTCCAATTAACCGAATCTCCGATTATCCGAATCGCTTACTTCAACAATTTTAAAAACGTAAAGCTACAGTAATCAGTTTTGCAAAATATCAAAGAATTGTTACTAAACACATTTAGCCAGTGTGTAATTTTGGACTTTGATGGAACACCAAAATTACACACTGGCTAAACCATTAACTTAATAACATGTATAGAACACTTGTACTAAGAGCATTGTAAACTGTAAAAATGTTCTGATTTCATTTATTATTAATTAAAAGTTCACTTAGTACCGAAAATTAGGATTTATCTTTAAAATTCCCGGAATTCCGGTAAAACTCCGATTATCCGAATATTTGATTATCCGAATGGGGTCTGGTCCCTATTGATTCGGATAATCGGAGTTCTACTGTAATCGTCTCTTGTTTTTAGTTTTTCCAATTAACCAACAAATCCAAGTAACTTTGTGTTGTCAAAACTATATTATGTGAAGAAGGCCACCAAGAAGCTTAGTATTCCTCGTGGTGAAAATTCAGTATTAATCAAAGTTTAGTTTGCGTTTGTATTTTTATTTTCATCATCATCTTTTGAGGAACGAAACCTTGAAAGATATTTAGGCAGATCAAGTTTTAACTAGTTGTGCTAAATTTTGATAAGCGCAAAACAGCTGTAGCTACGATCAAACACAAATTCATCATCATGCAACATTTCCTATTCAATCTTGTTTAAACTTATATAAATACAATTTACACATTTACAGGTTGGACCAAAAACATCGGAAGAGACAGTTGAATGTCAGTGCACTCACATGTCGATATTTTCAAGTTCAATTTTCGTTCCGCCAAACGACATCAATCCCATTTTAGACGCACCTCTATTCCTCACAGTTCCAGAAAATCCTTATGTGGTAATTTTTGTGATTGTTATCCTTCTTTTGTTTCTGCTGCTACTTTTGTGGGCTTATCGAAAAGATCGGAAGGACGCACTTTGTGTAAGTATTTTTAATGAGCTACAATAACTATTATATCAAATCAAATAATTTTATTGAGCTAAAAAGTTGACAATACATTGCATTATGTATTGTATAAATAATTTGTTTGATTTTAAACACACCTAAATGTGTACAAGGATGTCAAAAACCATTATTTCTTTAAGACAATGTGTTTTGATGCATTAAAAGACAGTTTTCAACACCACCATTACTTTAGCTACTAACTTATTTTTCTTATAAAAATATTTTAGTGGACTTTTTTCAGTTCAAAATTATTTCCTGAAAGTCATATGTTTAAAACATTATTCCAGTTTCTGTATATTGCACAAATATAACAGTGCATTAATTTTCATAAACTTATTCCCAGTCCCCACACTCAGATCACAGTATATTTTAGTAAATAATTATGATTTGTAAATTATGAAATGAAATGAAATGAATAATGAAATGAATAAGTGCTTTATTTACAACATATTGATACATACATTCACAGGTAAAAAATTACACTTTGTGAAACAATGGTTAAATAACCGTCTGTTCGGTTGGCACTTAATTTTAAAACTTACACTAAATTAAACCTTCTTTATATACTTTTTAAAAAGAAACAAAATATGTATATAAATATAATGTAAAACTAGGTGGCGTTCGCAGAGGCATCCACAAAATTGAGCGGAGTCATCAAGGGTTCATATTATATTGTTTTTGTCTTACTGCAGTAAAACAGTATTTTTTCATGCATGCGCTGCGGGTCTAAAGTAGCATTTTTAATATTTAGGGAGTAAAAATCGTTTTTAGCCTCTATGGAGTAAAAATCAGCTGTTGTCAACTCAGTTGTAAATTTCGATTGTAAACGATTGCATGTATCGAAAATATGTATCGATTTGTGCTTCGTAATCATTTTAACATATTACAGTCTACAGTCTCTTCCCGTAGCATTTTAGCATTGCAGATACATTAATCCATTCCCAAACTCAACACTGCTCACCTTTACTACTTCCTTCACCACACCCTACGTCGTGGACCTGTTTCCCTCTCTTCCCATAGCATTTTAGGATTGCAGATACATTAATTTAATTGCCAAAGACAGTTCCCACACTCTGCGCTGTTAGCCTTACTACTTCCTTCACCATTTACTACGTCATTGGCCTGTTTCCTTCCTTTCTCATAGCATTTAAGTATTACAAATTCATTTATCCATCTGCTCAAACGGTTCCCCCACTCTGCACTGCCAGCTTTTACTACTTCCTTCACCACTTACGTCGTAGACCTGTATTCATCGCTTTCCATAGCATTTTAGTATTTTAGATACGTTAATCTAATTGCAACAAACATCCCCACTGTCCGTACTGCTAGACTTTACTACTTCTTTCACAATTTCCTATGTCTTGGGCATGCTTCCATCCCTTCTCATAGCATTTCAGCATTGCAGATACATTAAAACTGCTACAAACGGTTTCCAGTTCCCACACTCCACACTGCTCACCTTACTACTTCTTTCACCTGTTTCTACGTCGCGGATCTGTTTCCCTCTCTTCCCATACCATTTAAAGATTGCAGATACCTGAATCTAATCGTCATAAACAGATCCCACACTCCGAACAGCTCGCCTTTACTACTTCCTTCGCCACTTCCCACATCGTGGACCTGTTTCCCTCCCTTTCCGTAGCATTTTAGGAACGTTGTGACCTTAATCTAATCGTCATAAACAGTTTCCATACTCCAGACTGTTCACCTTTACTACTTCCTTAACCTCTTCATACGTCACGAACCTCAAGCTAGTGTCGTCATTTGATTATAGTACCTGGGGACCGAGCTTTGCTCGGGGAAAAACATTAGTTCACTCTGAAAGCACCGTAGTATTGGAGATGCATAAATCCACACATCTACATCCTACACAATTTCCTACGTCATGGATCTGTTTCCCTCCATTCCATTGCATTTAAAGATTGCAGATACCTTAATCTAATCGTCATAAACAGTTCCCACACTCCGGACTACTCGCCTTGACTACTTCCTTCACCACTTCCTACGTCGCGGACCTGTTTTCCTCCCTTCCCATAGCATTAGGATTGCAAATACCTTAATCTAATCGTCATAAACAGTTCCCACACTCCGGACAGCTCACCTTGACTACTTCCTTCATCACTTCCTACGTTGCGGACCTGTTTTCCTCCCTTCCCGTAACATTTTAGGTTTGCTGATACCATAATCTAATTGTCATAAACATTTCAAACACTCCGGACAACTCGCCTAGACTACTTCCTTCACCACTTCCTACGTCGCGGACCTATTTTCCTCCCTTTCCATAGCATTTTAGAATTGCAAATACCTTAATCTAATCGTCATAAACAGTCCCCACACTCCGGACAGCTCACCTTGACTACTTCCTTCATCACTTCCTACATCGCGGACCTGTTTTCCTCCCTTCCCGTAGCATTTTAGGTTTGCTGATACCTTAATCTAATTGTCATAAACATTTCCAACACTCCGGACAACTTGCCTAGACTACTTCCTTCACCACTTCCTACGTCGCGGACCTATTTTCCTCCCTTTCCATAGCATTTTAGGATTGCAAATACCTTAATCTAATCATCATAAACAGTTCCCACGCTCCAGACAGCTCGCCTTGACTACTTCCTTCACCACTTCTTACGTCACGGACCTGTTTCCCTCCCTTCCCATAGCATTTTAGGATTGCCCATACCCTTATCTAATCGCCATAAACAGTTCCCTCACTCCTGACAGCTCGCCTTGACTACTTCCTTCACCACTTCCTACGTCGCGGACCTGTTTCCCTCCCTTCCTATTGCACTTAAAGATTGCAGATACCTTATTCTAATCGTCATAAACAGTTCCCGCACTCCGGACTACTCGCCTTGACTACTTCCTTCACCACTTCCTACGTCGCGGACCTGTTTTCCTCCCTTCCCATAGCATTTTAGGATTGCAGATACCCTAATCTTATCGTCATAAACAGTCCCCACACTCCGGACTGCTCGCATTTACTACTTCCTTCATCACTTCCTACGTCACGGACCTGTTTCCCTCTATTCCCATAGCATTTTATGATTGCCTATACTACTTCCTTCACTACTTCCTACGTCACGGACCTGTTTCCTTCCCTTCCCATAGCATTTTAGGATTGCAGATACCTTAATGTATTCGTCATAAACAGATCCTAGACTTCGCACTGCTACCACAGACAATAAAGTATTATATTGTCTGTGCTGCTACCCTTGACTACAATGTATCGAGTAATCTTAAGTATAATCTTTGCTCAATATTAACAAGTGATGTTTTTCCTTTTGTACTGTATTTGTAATTTCCTAGTATACTGTGGGTAGTTGGCTTATTATGAGCACATGCTAAAACTTCAAATCTTTTGTTTACTTTTTACTTGTTATTTAATTCAGCCAACATGGTTACCTAGCAACCCATAAGACTAATGTTAAAAAAATGTGATTTTCAGTTTCATTTTTCTACGGATTCCTGAGAGACTTTTTTAACGCTATATAGATGTTGGCACTCACCGATATGGTCTTTATCACCATGCAAAATTTGAAAACGATTGATTCAGCCGTCTAGGAGGAGTTTGCGTATTACGAAATGCATAAAAGTCGACGTATAAGAGCTTCGCTCGCTCCGCTCAATAAATAAGAAAATAAATAACCTCTCCTTAATTAATATTGCTATAATATTGCCCCATTTAACAAAAACAAAACAAACTATGACTGATGTCTAATCGAGCTTCAAAAGGTAAACTGAAGTTTACTACACTAAGTTTGTTTTTTTTTCTAAACAAACTAAACAAAAATAAAACAGGGGTATTTCTATATTATATTAAGTTGAAAAATTAAATTCTTTAATAAAGACCCATCTATACTGCCAGGCTCTTTTCAAATAATCAACCAAGACACGCCAATTCCTCCCATTAAGGTATTCAAAATACTCTATTTCATTTAGGACATTTTTCCCAAAATATTGATTTCTTAATTGCTTTAAAATAGGACAAACTGACACAAAATGGTAAACTGTCTCGTATTCATTTAAATTACACAAAGAACAATTATGATTTTTGTCAATCCAAGGTTTATAATTAAGGTCAATTAATTCTCCCCTAGCCTTTATTGCCCATGAAATTATATCACGATCTTTGGTGAAAAGCGGACTCTTATCGCCCAGTTCCGGGCCAAGGTCAAGCATTGATAATTATTTATGGAATACAGAGGTACGAGCTCTGCCGATGCACTCCCCCCTCCACTTCTCCCGCAAAACCTCCATCACTGATTGTAAATCTGTTCTCAGCCTGTCTGTCTCAACAACATCAAAATGAATATCAATGTGGCAAATTTGTCCTAATCGTTCCCATTCTCTGCACCAAAAAATACGTTTAGCCAGAACCTGTTTCGCTAATATACTGGGCAACCTGTTATGTGGCAGGGATAACTCCTTCAAAATATAATTTATTTGTGTATTTAAGGTATAGAAAAATAATTTCTCAAATCCAGTTTCTAAATATAGTAAATAGTTTGGAGTGTTGCACGGCAACTTCAATAATTTTTTAATAAACATTTTTTGCACTGATTCAACTATATCGCTTTCAATGTATCCCCATACCTGAGCTCCATAACATATGACAGCCCGCACGACCGATTCAAAACAAACAATCTTTGAGCTCAGCGGTATTTTATCGTTAATTATAAGTTTATTCCAAATTGAACTGATAGCAAATTTACCCATCCTACATTTTTCCGTTAAATACTTATTCCAAGAACAAGAACTTGAAAGAGTTATTCCTAGATACTTGTATGTGTTAACTACTTCAATTTTATCACCTTTATACCACCATTTATCAATATCTTTAAGTCTGCCGCCGTTTCTAAAAACCATAATTTTTGATTTGTTTAAATTTACAATGAGATTCCACATATTACAGTAGGTCTCCAGGTTTCTTATCATGTGTTGAAGCCCAGTTCTTGTTGGAGAGAGGAGAATAATGTCATCCGCATATAAAAGTATGTTTACCCTAATTCCTCCAAAACTACAACCTCCCCCCACCGCTTCTGGCAGGTCGTTTACGAATAGGCTGAATAAAGTAGGTGAGAGAATACATCCCTGTCTTAAACCTGTATTGGTGTTAAAACTGGTTGTGATGCCATCTCCACACCATACACTTGAACTGGTTTCACTGTAATAGCTTTTTAGATTGTTGAGCATACGAGTTGATATTCCCAGGTTAGACAATTTAAACAACAAAGCCTTTCGATCAATAGTATCAAACGCTGAGCTAAAATCAACAAAAAACGCGTATAATTTTTCTCCTTTTTGAGCCAATCTTAATTTAATCATACAAGTTAGATTAAAAATATTATCAATAGTTGAGTATCCTTTTCTAAATCCTGCTTGAAACTCCGTTAGTATTTGATTTTCCCAAATAAAGTTTTGCAGACGATTATTAAGAAGGCTGGTGAATATTTTTGCAATGCAATTTATAAAAGACAAACCTCTGTAATTCTCAACTGAATTTATATCCCCTTTTTTATGCAAAGGAAAAATTATGGATTCTTTAAAAGAAGTAGGAACCTTTTCAGTCAGGTAAATTTGATTATATACTGCCAGTAAATAGTCCAAAAAATTATCGGGCGCATTTTTAAAAAATTCGTAAGGTATTCTATCCATGCCTGGGGCTTTATCGGCCTTGACCGCGGTCAGTACATTCTTTAACTCAACTCTGGTAAACTCACAATCTAATCTAGCATTATCTACTAGAGGTTCCGCATAACTTATCGCACCTGCCAGAAGCGGGGGGTTCAGCAAACTGTTAAAATGTTTAACCCATTTTTCTGGTGAAATATTTCCCACAATATTGTCAGATTTCATTTTTAATGCATTAATGGCTCGCCAAAACGTCTTGCTATCAGAATGCGTGTTCAAATCTAATATAATATTTTCATAATATAATTTCTTTTTCGATTCACACACTTGTTTATAAATTTTTACTTGAGATATATATGAGTTTTTAATGTAGGAGGAGTTAGTTTTTCTATACAACTTTAACAGCTTAAACACACGGTTTCTTTCTACCAAACACCCATAATCAAACCAAGGTTGTTTTTTAGCTAATTTATTCTTTGAGCTTATACAAATTTTATGATTTGCCGATTTAAAAATGCATGTTGTAATATTACTAATGTTTTCCTGACTATCCTCTGATAATACACTATTTAATATATTTACTGAAATCCGTTCTTTATAATACAAATCATTGGTCCATTTTAATTTTGGCAACAAAGGCAAGATGTCACCTTCTCCCCTCTCCCTTTCCTCTGAGCTGATTCCAACATTTTAGCGAATTTCCCTATAGGGAAGTAGCTATTACCGTAGGTGGCACGGTAAGACTTAGACTCGGGACCGATTTACTTTTTCATTTTGATGTCCCCAGAGGCCAAAAACACCATTCGTTCAAATTTTTATATATGTATATATATAGATTTATATATATATATATACGTCCGTGAACGCGATAACTTGAGTAATTTTTGTCCGATTTTGATGAAATTTGGTTTAAAGGTGTAAAGCGGGATAAACTTGAATGAGTTCGCGAACCAGCACGATCGGACCATGGGAACGGGGCTTTACGGGGGGTTTTATGGGGTAAAAATTGGTTTTTCTCACTTTTGACCCTCAAAACACAAAATTTCCCAATTTATCTTTAGACCTTTTTAAAGAGCTTAAAAAAACAAATAATTTAGTATATAAAAGTATTTTTGTTCGATTATTAGTAACGGAGAAAATTTAAAAAATTGTAAATTAAAAATTCCCATGTTATTCTCATGGAGAATATTGTCAAATGTTGTAGTTTGCTTGTTTATGGACATATTTTGATCAAACTTAGCAAATTTATTTATTTTGTACTAAGCTATCAATATTTTACTCAAAAACACACTTTATTAGTTTCCTTGTAGCAGCAAACCTAGGTACTCGTTAAACCTTATGTTATTAAAATATATTTCACTGAAAATAAATTCAGACAAATGGAAATTCGCTTAGTCGGCAGGTTTGCTGCGGCGGGGGTATTTTATTACAATTTCAAGCGGCAAGTGATCAGAGCCTGGGTAGGGGAGCACCTTAAAATCGGCACATAAGCTAAAACAGTTTACTGAAACAGCTGCGAAATCTATAACTGAGGTCCCCATTGGCCCTATAAAAGTGAATTCTCCCTCGTTATCACTAGGTGACCTCCCATTCAAGATAATTAAACCATAATTATCAAACATCTCTAACAGCTTTCGCCCTTTACTGTTGGTTGTTTTATCTTTAGATTTTCTAAAATCAACAAAGCTTTTATTCATGTTTATAAATTCCCCATCTGAAAAAGATTGCCCTTCTCCAATTCTTCCATTTAAATCACCCAAAAGAACCAAATTGTCATTCTCGTGATTATTAAAAAAATGTTGCAAATTATTAAAATCCTGGTCCCAACTATTGAAATTTAGATACAAAGGGCAAATGTAGATACAACTTTCAGTGGTTTTGAAACTCGCTTTTACAAAATTAAACTGTTGTTCGTTAATAAAATTTAGGCTATTACAAAATGGTGAAGTTAATCTTATTAAAATAAGTTCCCCTCCGCTAAATCTTCCCAGATTTGACTCCCTTGTCGCTGATTTGAAAAACAACTTAAAATCTTTTAACTTACTTGTAACAAAATCTACGTCTTTTTGAGAAACAAAAGTTTCTAATAAAAAAACTAAATCATAATTACTTACTAAATCTAAAAATAAACTATCACTAACCTTTTTCTTTAATCCACAGATATTATATACTAGTATTCTAAAATATTGTCTCTCAACTCGCTGCCCTGCGCTGTTACAATGTCCGTCCTGTTGAGGAATGGCGTGGACCCCTCACACTGCCTCCTGGTCCTGGGATGTAGTCATCTGTGTTGCCTCTGCCTGGTCCTGGTCTGATGGTATCTCCTGAGATGCTGCGTGTGACGTATCCTGAGATGCTGCGTGTAACGTCTTCTGAGTAGTTGGTGTTGTCGTCCCGTGAGATGTTACCTCGGCGTAGGTCTGTGGTGTCGACAGGGGTAACTCGTTTCTTTGTTCAGTGTCTTTCTTCGATAGTTCTACGAGGAAGTTGGAGAAATCATGCCTGAATAGTCTTCTTAATTCAAGTGCCCCGTCGAGTGGTCCTGCCCTGAGCTTCCCCTCCTCCCACGTGAACCTCGTGCCCTTCACTTGAAGATGGTCGTGTACCAGTGGCATCTTCAAACCTCCGACGAGTTGATCGATTTCCTTGCGAACAGCCACCAGCCGGGAACGCTTTAGCCTTATCTCCCGTGGGAAATCGCTGTGAATAACTTGACGTGTCCCCTTCAGGTTTTTAGCTTGACTGAGTATATATTCCAGGTCAGTGTCATCAGGTATATGTGTGATAATTGACTTGCCATCTCGACCTATAGGGTGAGCTCTGTTTACCCATACTCGTTCTGAACAACCTAACACCTCTCGGCAAAACTCCCTCACTACTTCCCTGAAGTCTGGTCGCTTCCCGGTCCAATGCAAACTTTTAAATATTAGGTTATTTCTTCTAGATCTCGATTCCAGGTCAATTAGTTTTTCATGGACAACCTTTTCCTGTCTTTTTAACGAAATGATTTCTTCTTTAAGAGCAACGTTTTCAGTCGTTAATTCCTCTACTTTAGTGTTTATGGTTATAATATCGTCCTTGGTTGCTACTTTAGACAACTTTTCATCTAATTTTATCTCTAGTAAACTGCTTAATCCTGACATAAGCTGAGCTAAGGTCATGTCGCCTACCTTTGCATCTCCCATGTTGCTAACCTCAATGTTGTCTGGGCTATCAGGTGAGAAGACGGCACGTGAACGTTTAAATCTTGAGCCACTCGGAGTAAAAAAATCACCTATTTTTGAATTAGGCATCAAATAGCACTTCACTGAAAAATGTTCACAAAAGACAACTACCTTGAGTTACAGTGTCCACATGAGTTCACCGACGCGAGACGTACTCGTTTACACCGGCACAATATCGACCACGTTGTCCACGTTGCCGCACCACAGTTTTGACCAAACTAACCACAATCAGGAGAGTTTATCACTAAAACCGGTCGTTATTACGGACTTTAGGTTAGTCTGAACAACTTATCACAAACCGGATAAGAAATTGCACTTAATTTCTATGTCAAATTTAACTTAAAAGCGGAGCTAACGGATTTCTCTGCTATACATAACCGCACCAGTAGTGCCAACTGATTTGTAAATTAATAAGCTGTTTTGTGTGTTTCAGGGAATTAAATACAGTCTTGATGACTATCCAACCTTGTGGTTATTTGGCCATGTTGTTATCCGACCCTGCCTGTGGATGATAAAGTACTGTCGCTAATAACTTCCTTTTTGTCCTAGAGCGATGTCATCGTACTCCATGACAATTTCCCTGGAGAGAGCTATGCCTATTTGATCGCTGTATTCACTGGGTCTCGTCTGACGGCAGGAACTTCTGCTGTCGTTGGCCTTCGTCTTTACGGAGACACCTACGCCACTCGGGTAAGCAAAGTTTTGAGGGCACCTATTGATGAAATCAGCTTAGGGTGTGTAGACGGAAAACCACAAAAAACAACATAATGCCAATATTGAGTGACTAGAGTGCAAGTTGGTCTAGTGGTGCTTTAGTTCTGATTATTGGGCTTTTTATAAATGGTCCTGACTATCATGTCTTATGTTATCTATGAGAGGCGGGCCAAAGCCTCAAAGCGCTTCATCCAAATCTTTTAATCTTTGCATACCCCAATAGACAATAGACAATAGACAAAGATCTTTATTTACATATTCGTTGAGAACAGTACATGCGTCATAATAATAATAAAAATTTGTTGATTTAATATGTTGTTAAAGCTGGTTGTCAAGGAATTCTTTTTCTGAGTAGAATGGCCTTTCTTGCAGCCATGTTGTTAATTGGTTCATGAAACGGTGAGTTGGTTCATTTCTAAGTTGTTCTGGTAGGTTGTTGAAATACAGGGCCCCTTTGTAGGATGGCTTCTTTTCAAAGAGACTTAGATGGTGAGGTGGTATTGCAAAGCATGAGGCGTTCCGTGTATTGTGATGGTGAATGTCTGTTTCTTGTTTGATTTGTGGAGATGGCATGGAGAATTGACTCACGGATGTAAAGTGATGTCAGTGTGAGGATTTTTAGTTCCTTAAATGCATCACGACTGCTTTCTTGATATTGAAGGCCTGCTAGACATCTTATAGCTCTTTTTTGTTGGATAAGAACTCTTTTTAGGTAGTTGTTGGATGTACTTCCCCAGACCACCAGACCATACCTGAGGTGTGACTCAACCAGGGCATGGTAGGCTGTTTTTGCGGTGTCCAGACCGTACCTGCTTCATTCGCTTGATGACATGAATGCCAGAGCGTAGCTTCTTGCAGAGTTGGTCAATGTGCTGTTTCCATGTCAGTTTTGAATCCATGATAATGCCGAGATATTTGGTACTATTTTGTGCTTCTATCCTAGGGATTAATACGTTTGTGTCTTTATTTTTAGTAGAGTAGTTCAGCTGAACAGTTTTCTTTTCATTTAGAGCCAATTCGTTTACTGTACAATATAGTTTAGTCATGTTGAAGGTTATATTGATGTTTCGGTTTAAAGTTTCCGTTGATTTGTCAGTTAGTGTGATGACAGTGTCATCTGCATACATTGTGGTTTGGCAGTATTCTTGTAGCTGGTCTGGTAGGTCATTTGTGAGGAGGAGGAACAGGACTGGTCCGAGAACTGATCCCTGTGGTACTCCTCTCCGTATAGGGACAGTTTCGGAATGTATTTTATGGCGAGTGTTTTTTTTCTACATGCTGAATCTCAACTAGTTGCTGTCTGCCATTAAGATAGCTGTGGAACCATTGTTTAGACTTTCCCTCAATACCCAGAGCTCCCAATTTTCTAAGAAGTGTCTTGTGGTTAAGGCAGTCAAAGGCCTTGCTAAAGTCCAGAAACAGACTTGTGACTGAGGAGCCGTCTTCTAGTTGTTCTATTATGTGCTCGGTGAGCTGTATTAAGGCAGTGGAAGTGGATCTTCCTTTAAGGAAGCCATGTTGCTGGCTGGTGAGCAGCAGGTTTTGGTCTAGATGGGATATTAGTCTGTTAAGGACGATTTTTTCAAAGATTTTAGAGAAGGTCGGTATAAGTGAAATTGGTCTGTAACTTTTAGCATCTGTGTTTGGTCCACTTTTATATTTAGGGTATACCTTGGCAGTTTTCAGCTGTGTTGGGAAGACCCCTTATTTATGAGTGCTGTTAGTGGGTTAATCAGTTCATTTTTGCATGTTTTGACCTGTTTGGCTGATATTTCATCAGTGCCAGATGAAGTTTTTGGTTTAAGTGAGTCTATTGCTTTTAGTACTTCGTTACGTGTTGCAAGCTGAAATTTTAGTTTGTTAGCTGTTAAAGGAGGAATTTCGGGGGTTCTGGTGTGTGTGTTGGTGTTGTTTGCCTGAAGTGTCCTTTCCGCGGCTGTAGCAAAAAAACTTTTGAGGTGGTTTGCTATTTTGATTGGGTCCTGTAATGTCTCCCCATCTACTAGGAGTTCCCACTCATTTGCTATACTGGTACTTGATTTTCTCTCATTATTTATAACCTGCCAGAGTGCCTTGGACTTGTTGTCGGCATTGCTTATGTAGTCGGATGTTTGAGTTTTCCTCAAAGTCTTTAGTCTTAGGTCATAGTCCCTTTTTCTTGCTGCGGTTTCTGCTTTATCTTCAGGTAGACCTGTGCAGTTTTCTTTTTCCAGGGCATTTATATATAGATTTTTTTGTCTAGAGCATTCAGCATCCCAGCAGTTTTTTTGATTGTGTTGTTTTCTCCTTGTCATTTTTACTGGGCAGGTCTCATTTAGTATTCCTGGGATAGCCCTGTGAAAGTTGTTATAAGATTCATCGACATCTTCTATGTGGTAGACACAATCCCAGGGTTGTTCATGGAGCCTGGTTTTAAATAGATTTATGGTGTTTTTGTTGAGAGTTCTTCTTTTCTCCTTAATTGACTTTGTGATTTTTTCTGATGGTAGTTGGAGAGTGGCAATTTGGGCAGTGTGGTCTGAGAGTCCAGACAGGATAATGGATGTCTGGATATGTTTTGGGTCTATGTTTGTACAGATCCAGTCTATTGAGGTTTTAGTTTCATGTGTAATTCTAGTAGGCGGCAGATTTAGTCTAACAATGTCAAAAGGGGATAGAAGATCTTCAACTTGGGTGTTATCTGTGTCGTTTGCATGTTCACCAAGGTTGTTTACATTTATGTCGCCCATGATGACAGTTTTCTTCTTTGTGCGGAGAGCATATTCCAGCTGGCTTGCTAGGATATCTAGCGCTTGTTCCAAATTGTCCCTTGGAGGCCTGTAGACTCCCATGACCTGGACTATTTCCTTCTTCAGTTTTATTTCGAAAAGAGCAGTTTCACATACTAGTTCTGAGTCGTCATCACTTATCTTAAGTACTTTCATATAATTTTCCAGGCCATGTTTGGCATATCCTGCAACTCCTCCTTTCGTATGATTTCTTCTTGTGTAGCCTCCAATTAGGGTGTAGCCAAGCTAGCTGTGTGTTTTCTAAGTTTTCTCGGGTGAGACCATGCTCTGTAATAACTATGAAGTCTGGTTGTTCATTATTAAGGAAGTGTGATAGTCTTTCTGTTTTATTAGACAGCCAGTCTATATTTTGGTGGGCAAGGGTGAGTTGGTGTCTGCGAACTAGTGGGTGTTTTGATTGGTTGTCAACACTGTTTTTAGATTTTGTTATGTCGTTGCCGGTGGTTTGGTTGAGGGTCCTAAAAAAGAGGTTTGGGTGTTGCTGGTTTCTGTACTTGGGTTGCTTCTATATCTACTTGGGTTGGGATCAAGATACTTCTAGAGGCTGGGGTTTCAGAGTGACTAATCGAGGCTGATAGTCTTTCCTTGTGTTGGGTATTTATGTCTTTAAAGTAATCTATATGCTTCATGAAAAAGTCATCCAAAGTTTCCTGGTCGCCTCGTATTCTTGCTGTCATAGGTGGAAGCCTCTCTTTTTGAGTCAGTTTTTTAGAAGGAGTTTGGTTGTTTCTCCTGGTCATATCCGGGTTCAGTTTTTTGAAAGGAGTTTGGCTTTCTCTCCTTGTAGTTTCTCGTGTCAAGATGTCAGCATCGCATTTCTGTTTACACCATCTACCTGTAAGCCTATTTCTACATTGGCAGGTTCTTCAAGCCGAGATTTGTTTTTGGCTACTTGGAGAGATACACTGAAATGGTTTCTTTTGTTCCCAATTGGTTTTTTGCTCTTGCTTAGGTTGTGGTTTTTAGAACGAGGAAAAATCTCTTTAGTGGATGTACTTTGTGTGACTGTTGATGGTGTAGCAGGATTTATTTGTTCACGTTGTTTGTGCAGTTCTTTTTGCAAAGTTTCCACAGAGCGTTCTAGTTGGTCTTGTCGAGTTTTCAGCTGAGCCAGCTCAGTAATTAGAGAGGCACAGTAGTTGGGAACATAAAAATCGGAGTGATTTGTTTGTGTTTCTGAAGTGCCAGTAGGTTTTGGTGTCTGAGGTAGGTCCGTTGAGTCATCTTGGTTTAGCTTCAGCTTGTTTATCATTCCGCCTATTGCTTAATTTCATTTGCTGAGTCGAGTAGTAGTTTTTCTCTTTCATTATCTTGTTCTTCAAAGGTTTGTATCATTTTAATTCTTAGCTGTCTTTCCTTCTCTAGTTGGAGTTCTACTTCATTTAGTGTTTCAACCAGAAGCATTTCGGGAGAGCAGGATTTCCTTGTCATTTTCAAGCTCTTCAATTTTTGCCTCAGCAAGGTTGAGAGTTGAGATATTCAAAGACCTGCAATGTCCAGGCACCTAATGCCTGCATTGTACTGAACAGTTCCTCCTCAGGAAGGCAACTCACCAGATTTCCAAGATTTGTCCTTCTTACCTCTGAGATCTCCTCAATGTGAAAGATCAGGTGAAAACGGTTTCCTCTGACCTCCCACACTTCACACAGACCCATTTGAGGCAAATGCTCTTTGACAAGCCTAGGTCAAGTAATCAGCTCCATAGTTTTTCTTTCTGTTGTCTATCTAATGTTTTGTCCAATTCTTCTCCTAATCAACCTCAGGAAATCTGAGGCAATCCCTTGAGAGGAGTGAGCTTACTTACTCTTAAAGGGAGTGATTCAGCCCATCTCTTACAATGTTTTTTAGTGGCCCATGACACGCTGGAGGTGCACACAGGTACCTCAGAAGGGTAGAGAACCGATCATAGTTGTCGTAGAAGCATTTGCTAGCCAGTCAGCAGCAATGTTACCTACTAAGCCAGAGTGACCAAGCACCCACAAGGATGGATTTAGCATTTTGGCGTCCCTAGGCCCTATAATTTTTCCGCCCCTTGTCCTGTTATTGTTACTTTCTTACGTACCTTTGATAAAAACTATATCAGGCCTATATGTTAATTGCTTAAACAATAGAATTGTACCATTGAAAGTTTTTTTTAAGAATTTACATGGTTATGGCCTTAGCCGTCTTAAACCCTTTTAGCAATTTATGTATTAAATAGAGTGTATAATAGGTTACGTACCTTGTTCCCTCTTCAGTCTTAACTTAGTCTATGGATGACTAGTTTCGGGTACAAAGACCCATTATCAAATCCTTATTTAAAACATCATATTGAATATGGTAAAATATCCGACGTAAGTCTTCATCAATGTATACATGCAGGTCGACGACACATAAAATTTACACATTTAAAAAACAAAAGTTACAAATACATTTAAAACTATAGGCCGGCCACATTGAATACGGGACAAACCGACGTAGGTTACACGGCGGTACCAACAGCTATATGATAATCCAGCAGTATTATCGATAAGATAGTTAACAAACAAAAGTACAAAACTGGTAAACTAATTGATAAACCCAGCAACTTTGTATCCGTCGAATTTGGAGCCAACCTACACTATACATTAAAAAATTAATTGAAAAAACATCAAATCACCCTAGCTAGTAAAACGTCAAACAAGCTAGAACGTCATTTGAGCCAATCCAACCATAAACAAAATGATAATGATTTAGATGGCACAGGTGTTTACAAACTATCTTGTAATGATTGCTCCAATTTATACATAGGCCAATCGGGACATTCCTTCAATACCAGATTTAAAGAACACCTACCTAAACCAAAACTGTCAATACAACGATCCAAATTTGTAGATCATCTAGTAAATGCCAATCACAATGTAAACAGTTGCCAAGATAATTTACAAATCTTGCACAAATGCAGTAAAGGTCCCCTCATGAACGTCTTAGAGAGTCTTGAAATTTATAAAGCTAATAAAAAATCCTCTCAATACGTTTTGAATGAAAAACTAAATTTTGGTTCAAATTTTTATTTGATAGAAGACTTACGTCGGATATTTGACCATATTCAATATGATGTTTTAAATAAGGATTTGATAATGGGTCTTTGTACCCGAAACCAGTCATCCATACACTAAGTTAAGACTGAAGACGGAACAAGGTACGTAACCTATTATATATTTGAATATCAGTCTTGGTGGCAAAGATGTTTAAATAGAGTGCTGCTTTTTACGGGACTGAATCAAAACGATGTAACCAAAACCGGCAAAACATTCCTGCAACAAAGCATGGCCTTTACAGGTGCCGTAGTGCTTCAAAAATTATTCCCAAAAACATGAACTCTGTACATCAGTAAGAGATACCATAGATAAAAAATACCCCCCAGTAGATTTGTTATCCGAGCTAAGGCATTTTACTCCATTCTGCTCTCATATTTGACTTAAAATACACCCTGTTGTGTTTCTGTCCCAATTGATAATTATAATACCGATAACAACTGTTGCAGCCAACCGTCCTGAAGTGTGAGACCAGGAGAGTTCTACAAAGAGACAATGATGACTGGTTTCTGTTGTGCTATCCTGTGTCCTTGGGTATCCTCAATGCCGTGCAACTCTGGCATGACAACTCTGGGAGGAACCCCGACTGGTAAGACAATCAGCTCTTTAAATCAGTAAAATTAAATGCTCCCTTATGGCTAACCAGCAGAATATTGACAGAAGCCGTGCTCTAAAACTAGATGATCTTAACTCCTCCGATTTGTATTCAAACAGGTTTATAGCATAGATAAAACATACCCTTGGTAGAATTTTCATCCTTATGGAACAGCTGAAGTCAATTTTATTGTTAGTTGTACGGTGCACTGTAGACGTTGTGTGACTTGGCCTATTGTAAACTAGGTGGCGTTCGCAGAGGCATCCACAAAATTGAGCGGAGTCATCGAGGGTTCATGTTATATTGTTTTTGTCATACTGTAAAAACAGTCGTCTATGCGTTGCAGGTCTAAAGTAGCATTTTTACTCTCTAGGGAGTAAAAATCTTAGTTGTAAATTTGAATTGTAAACGATTGCATGTATCTAAAATATGTATCGATTCGTGCTTCGTAATCATTTTAACCTAAAAAGTCTACAGTCTCTTCCCATAGCATTTTAGTATTGCAGATACATTCATCCATTCCCACACTCAACACTGCTCACCTTTACTACTTCCTTCACCACCCCCTACGTCGTAGACCTGTTCCCTCTCTTCCCATAGCATTTTAGGATTGCAGATACATTAATGTAATTGCCAAAGACAGTTCCCACACTCTGCATTGCTAGCCTTACTAATTGCTTCACCATTTCCTACGTCATAGACCTGTTTCCTTCCTTTCTCATTACATTTAAGATTACAGACACATTTATCTAACTGCCCAAACCGTTCCCCCACTCTGCACTGCCAGCCTTTAATACTTCCTTCACCACGTCCTCCGTCGTGGGTCCTGTTTCCTTCCCTTCTCATCGCATTTTAGGATTGAAGATACATTAATCTAACTGCCACAGACGATTCTCACACTATGCTCATACTTTACTATTTCCTAAGCCACTTCCTACGTCGTGGACCTTTTTTCATCACTTGCCATATCATTTTAGTATTTTAGATACGTTAATCTAATTGCCACAAACATTCCCCACACTCCGCACTGCTACCCTTTACTACTTCTTTCTCCATTTCCTATGTCGTGGGCATGCTTCCATCCATTCTCATGGCATTTCAGCTTTGCAGATACAAATGGTTTCCAGTTCCCACATTCCACACTGCTCACCTTACTACTTCCTTCACCTCTTCCTACGTCGTGAACCTGTTCCCCTCTCTTCCCATAGCATTTTAAAATTGCAGATACCTTAATCTTATCGTCATAAACAGTTTCCACACTCTGGACAGCTCGCCTTGACTACTTCCTTCACCACTTCCTACGTCGCGGACCTGTTTTCCTCCCTTCCCATAGCATTTTAGGATTGCAGATACCGTAATCTAATCGTCACAAACAGTTCCCACAGTCCGGACTGCTTGCCTTTACTACTTCCTTCTCCACTTCCTACGTCACGGACCTGTTTCCCTCCCTTCCCATAGCATCATAGGATTGCAGATACCTTAATCTAATCGTCATAAACTGTTCCCACACTCCGGACAGCTCGCCTTGACTACTTCCTTCACCACTTCCTACATCGCGGACCTGCTTTTCTCCCTTCCCATAGAATTTTGGATTGCAGATACCTTAATCTAATCGTCATAAACAGTTCCCACACTCCGGACAGCTCGCCTCGACTACTTACTTCACCAATTCCTACGTCACGTACCTGTTTCCCTCCCCTGCCATAGCATCATAGGATTGCAAATACCTTAATCTTATGTTCATAAACAGTTCCCACGTCCCGAACAGCTCGCCTTTACTACTTCCTTCACCACTTCCCACGTCACGGACCTGTTTCCTTCCATTCCAAAAGCATTTTAGGATTGCAGATGTCTCAAACTTTGGTTTATTTCATGCTAAGATTACTTATGGTTTGATTGTCTGGGGCAGTGCCTCAGCATCAAAAGATGTTTTTATCCTACAAAAACGTGCCGTTCGAATCATTGCAGGAGTTCATTATAAAACTCACTGTAAACCATGGTTTGTTCATTTAAAAATTTTAACTCTTTATTCTGCCTTTATTCTTCAAAACTTGCTATTCATTAAAGATCAACCAGATTTGGTGCATAATAATGACGTGCACTCTTACAACACTAGAATAAGACATGACTTACAATTGCCTTATGTTAGATTAAGTAAATCAATGAAAAGGCCATCTGTACTAGCCATAAGGTTATTTAATAAGCTATACCCCTTGCTATTAGGGACATGGACATTATTAAATTTAAAACTGTTGTAATCAGGTTCTTACTTGCAAATGCATTCTATTCAATTGATGAATATTTGACAAAAAAATTGACTTGCAATGATTTTGTGTAAGATGGGTGAGCCCTTTGTTCAATTTATTATTGTATAGATTATATATTGTAACCTGACATATCCAATGTATTCAAAAGAATATCTAATGGAAATAAAGATCTTATCTTATCTTATCTTATCAATCTAATCGTCACAAACAGTTCCCACTGTACGGACTGCTTGCCTTTACTTCTTCCTTCACCACTTCCCACGTCACGGACCTGTTTTCATCCATTCCCATAGCATTTTAGGATTGCAGATACCTTAATCTAATCGTCACAAACAGTTCCCACAGTCCGGACTGCTTGCCTTTACTACTTCCTTCACCACTTCCTACGTCACGGACCTGTTTCCCTCCCTTCCCATAATATCATAGGATTGCAAATACCTTAATCTAATGGTCATAAACAGATCCCACGCCCCGGACAGCTCGCCTCTACTACTTCCTTTACCACTTCCTACGTCGTGGACCTGTTTCCTTCCCTTCCAATAGCATTTTAGGATTGCAGATGCCTCAATCTAATCGTCATAAACAGTTCCCACACTCCGGACAGCTCGCCTTGACTACTTCCTTCACTACTTCCTACGTCGTGGACCTGTTTTCGTCCCTTTCCATAGAATTTTAGGAATGCAGATACCTTAATCTAATCGTCATAAACAGTTTCCACACTCCATACTGCTACCTTTACTACTTCCTGCACCACTTCCTACGTCACGGACCCAAGCTAGTGTCGTCATTTGATTATACGTATTTAACATACCGTTTCTGTCCTAGTATCTGTGGAATAATGCTATCAGCTATTTCCTTATTTACTGCATTCAAAAGTCAACAGCTATGTCTTTGTGTCTTTGTGTATATGTCTTTGTTTATGTGTCAAATACTGCTTCCATAAGGATTACATTGAAACTTTGAGACCCAGTGGGGCGGATTCCTGAGAGACTATTTTAACGCCATATAGATGTTGGCACTCACCGATATGGTCTTTTTCACCATGCAAAATTTCAAAACGATTGATTCAGCCGTCTAGGAGGAGTTTGCGTATTACGAAATGCACAAGAGTCGACGTATAAGAGCTTCGCTCGCGGGGCTTGGTAAATCTTGAATCTTGTGTTTTGTTTACAATTTGATTCTTGTTATTTCAGTCATTTAAAACCTCGTTTAACAAAATAGTACAATCTAATCATAAACAATAACTCGCCCTCCCTAGTTATCTAACCAAACTGTAATAAGCTCAAATCATGAAATTAGACATAACAAATTGGCCTCAAAATAATAGAAACAAGATTTTGTCGCCACTAGCACCCTGTGTCACCTTACATGAACTAGACACAAAAAACAAGCTTAAAAATTTACAATTGAACAAACTTTGTTTTGGTTTCTTGGAAACAAAAAAAGCACAGATCATATGATTTACCATAAAGACTATGTTTGCTTATAATTGCTATTCCCTATTGGGAAATTTACTAAATGTAATGTATACATCAACAAATTAACAAATGGTTTTTCCTACAGTCACCCGACAAAGTTGGCTTTCTTGTACTGTTTATAGTACAGAAAGCTGCTAATTGCTGCATATTTATACTTTGGCACACATCAGGTTTCCAACGAAACAACACAAAACAGCGTGGTTCTATTATGCACGTAATCCGTGTACGCTTGAAAATAAGTTGGCAACACTTAAAGATAATAATAATTTTTGTTATTTCTTAGTTTTAGTATATCATGTATATGACTTTATGTCCTGTCAAAAAATGATGTAATGACATGTAGTAAATAAATAAATAAATAAATAAATACTAAGAGCAGCTGATTGACTATTATAACTAACCTGTCATTTCGTGTTAATAGTTTATGTTCTCTTTTCGGTATTTCTGAACTTTATGGACTTTTCTTTTAAACATTTTTAAAACAATCCTACGATCTTAATAAGCAAGAAAATACCTTTAAAGCATATTTAAGGCGCGGAAACCACTGCAAATTACAAAAATATACGGAACTATTTTCTCAAGTCGCGGAGCAGATTGCTTGCCGAGGAAAACATAGCGGAGTGATACGGACCGGGGACTACTTTAATTCTCTAGGGCACATATTTGTGTTGCCAGCTGAACCTAAAAACGTGTTGTATAGTGTTTGAAAGACTAATTATTTATATGATTTATAGTGACTGTAGGAAAAATATAATGTGTAACACGAGTGCAAAAGGCCTTTGCTACACTCGAGATCATTCATTGTAAACGTTGCTCTCGTGTGCAGAAGTGCCACTTTGCGGGTTTTTTGCATTGCCAGATACTGAAAATCAATTGTTGATTGGTGTGACTTAAGCACTGGCCCTCAGAATGAAAGTTCTTGCCCTAACCACTCATACAGAATGTATTCTTTAGTGTTTTATTTACAGTTAAAGCTAATACCAAGCATTTACCCTAAAATAATCACTTAATTTATCCACTTCAAAAAAGTTTAACTTATGAATTCATGGAATGTATTCCAGGTACTGCTCAAAGGTTATAGTGTACGACCTACAGGCCACGACCCAGTACCTGTTTGTGATCGACCAGTGGCTGGCATTAGAGGTAGACGAGTTTCCGGAATCGATGGTTCGACCGGCAACTACGGACGAGGTGTTGAGCGTCAAGCGGATTTTTCTGGACAACTCTGTTCTCGGCTTTAGGGAAAATCATTTGCACCTGAGCATCTTGGCTAGGTAATGACTATTTAAAACTACTGTCTCAGTAAATAAGTAATAAATGTTATTCTAACATAGTGTATTATTAGCAAAACTATTACAATTATGACTTCTTGAATTATGATGTGTTCTTGAATTAGTACGTGTTGAATCATTAAGGAATTATCATTCAAACATATTTGTACCATGAAAAACTTATACTCTACTGTATACTGAAAACAAGAGTTGTGAAATAAAAATTACTGAAAAGAAAATGTAAAAAAATGTTCAACCCAGGTTCAAGAATTTGAGTGATCTTAAATTACCACATTTTTATTGTAGCCTGTTTTGCCTGTGTCTGTCATTAATAATTTTAATTTTGAAATCCATGTGCTTTATTCATAATCTAGTTCAACTGCGTTTACATTTGTCTGGTTTTCAGACATCCGAGGAGCCCTGTCTCTAGAAAACAACGTTTGATGGTCCTGATGGTTTTGATAATGTCAGCCATGTTGGCTAGCATTATGTTCTTCAAAGTTACGGATAAATTTGGTATTACTGCAGTTATTTAATGTGGTTACAATTTATTACTAAGTTAATTTTAATAGTTTCTTCCACAAAAGATAAAAGACAAGCACAAATCATATACCGGTAGTTATACCATAGACTAACCAACACAAGTAGACTTCTCATCCCATTGTAAATTTTGAAGCACGTTTTTCGTGTCTAGTTCATGTACGTGACACAAAGGCGCTAGTGTCGATGAAACTTTGTTTCAATTATTTTAGGGTTAATTTCTTGATTTCTGCTTTACTGTTTGGTTATATAACTAGGGGACAAGTTATTGTTTATGATTAGATCGTATTATTTGGTTAAACGAGGTTTTAAATGGCTGTAATAACGGGAAACAAATTGTAAACAAAACACGACCTCTACATAAACCGTACACGAACTAACAATAAAATTGTCTTCAGCTGTTCCATAAGGATGAGAAATCTACTAAGGGAGTATGTTTTATCTATGGTTATACATATCCTAAAATCTATACCTGTAATGAAAAAAAAAACATGGCTGAAACACCTGAACAACGGTGATAATGTGTGGGTAATAGTCCTCATTTTTGGTTTGATCTTTATTTTATTTTTATAAAATGTTTGAGTTGTTAAAAAATAAATTATGATTGAAGTCAAAATTTAAGATTGACACGAAAAGTAAGCATTTAAAAAAATGTAATGTAAATCTGTTATACTACAGACAATAGACCATCCCTTGAACTAAACCAAGCGCAACTGCCGATAGAGGTCTATAATTGGTTCCTTAGTCTATGGTTATAAGCTAAGATTAAAACAAACCAAAAATATTTATACAGATTAAGGTCAAGTATTTACTTAATTGCTAAACAAACAATCTTGTTTGTTTAAAAAAAAATGTGAATTAAGAATTGTTGAGCCTTATGTTTGTGTTGTTGTTGTTGTTGTTTTTGGAAGAAACCAGTAGAAAAAGTCTCATTAAAACACCCACTGTTTATTTTGATTGTAGTTTTCTATTTTTTAGCGAATTTCCCTATAGGGAAGTAGCTATTACCGTAGGTGGCACGGTAAGACCTAGGCCCGGGACCAATTTACTTTTTCATTTTGATGTCCCCAGAGGCCAAAAACACCATTCGTTCAAATTTTTATATATGTATATATATAGATTTATATATATAAATATATAAATACGTCCGTGAACGCGATAACTTGAGTAATTTTTGTCCGATTTTGATGAAATTTGGTTCTAAGGTGTAAGTTAGGATAAACTTGGATGAGGTCGCGAACCAGCATGATCGGACCATGGGAACGGGGTTTTACGTGGGTTTTTATGGGGTAAAAAAATGGTTTTTCTAATTTTTGACCCTCAAAACACAAAATTTCCCAATTTCTCTCTAGACCTTTTTAAAGAGCTTAAAAAAACAAATAATTTAGTATATCAATGTGTTTTTGCACGGTTATTAGTAACGGAGAAGATCCAAAAAATTATAAATTTAAAATTCCAATGTTATTCTTATGGAGAATATTGTAAAATGTTGTAGTTTGCTTGTTTATGGATATATTTTGATAAAACATGCCAAATTATTTATTTTAAACTAAGCTATTAATATTTTACTAAAAACCTCCACAGTAGTATCCTTGTAGCAGCAAACCTTGGTACTCGTTAAACCTAATGTTATTTTAATAGATTTAATTTAAAATCAATTCAGACAAATGGAAATTCGCTTAGTTGGCAGGTTTGCTGCAGCGGGGGTATTTCAAATACATTTGAAAATAGTTCAAAAATAGTTTCTGAAAATGATTTGTGTCTTAAACCAATGAAACAACCAATCGTAATTGCTGTGTTGAATTATTTTTTAGCTGAAAACGTTGATGAGTACCACTACAGCTTTGGTCAAAGAGAGCTCATGATAAGTATTCAATCGTTTGTGATCTCCACAGTCTTTGCCTTTATTGCAATGTTTCTTTTTAGGTAAGTATTTCCACAAAGTAGACTAAATCTTACTCTCTTAAAATAATATAATCCCAAACTAAAAGCAAGTTTAAACAAGTTAAGAATTGTAGCCAGGGGGGACGGATGTAGATTGATGACCGAGGGGATTAGTGACATTGGTAATAATGGCGGGGTAGCGGATTTTTATCCCCCTGGAATTTTACCCCCTGGGCAAACGTGACGTCACAAACCAGGGGGTAAAATTCCGGCCGCAAACTTTTGAGTTCGGCGACATCAGCTCGATGGATTAAACGCGGAATTAAACATATAATTTCACGGTTGTGAATTTAATCAGAACACATCAAATTATAAAAACCTAGAATGTACGGCCCGGATTTTTACCCCCGGAAATTTACCCCCAGAATTTTACCCCCGGGATTTTTACCCCCGGATTTTTACCCCCCGGATTTTTACTGCCGGAATTTTACCCCTGGAATTTTACCCCCTGGCCAGATATATAAATTGGTGAGAATGGTTACTTATCTTCATTCAGTTTTAATTTAATAGTAAACATTTTATTATTAAGTAGCCTATCTTAATTTATTTGTAACATTAACTAATCGAACAGCAGGTTTTTAATTTTAATTTTGAGATTCGTGTATCAGGATTCGATCTTTGAAGCCAACTGTTGTTAATATGATCAAAATAAAACAGCGAATTCTGTTTACTTAGTTGAGATTACAAAATAAATAAATACAGATAGGCTACTAAATAATGAAATGTTTACAATTAATTAAAAACAGAAATAAGAAAATCAATCGTTCAAATTCTAAAATCGGCCAGGGGGTAAAATTCCGGGGGTTAAATTCCGGGGGTAAAAATCAGGGGGTAAAAATCCGGGGGTAAAAATCCGGCCCGTACATCTTCAGTTGTCTAAACGCTAGTTATATGGACAGGGAGTAAAATTCTGGTTTTTATCGCTAATCTAATTAATCACGCTCTGACTATTTTCATTAGACTTCCAAATCCGTAGGGGTAAAATTCCAGCCGCAAACAAACTTTTGACCACTCAGGTTACTACGTCATAGTGAAGTCAGCTTTGCCCAGGGGGTAAAATTCCAGGGGGATAAAATTCTGGCGACCCATAATGCGATATGTATATTAATCGAAAATTCGTTTTAGTTGTCTGACTGTTGTGCTAGAGCCTGGAGGACCCTAGCATGTTGGAATTAAGAGCTTGCTATCTTCTGCTACCTTCATAAAATGACTATTTAATTAGTAACGCTGTTTGGGGACCAAAGGGCGGAGATCTTTACCCAGACCAGAAGCAGGCCAAGCCAGCTTTGATTACTACGAAGGATGAAACTAACAAATTTAACTAGAACATTGAAATAAACCTACCCTTCCAAACAAAATTATTAAATATACTGACAAGTCCGCTATATTGCAAGACGATAATAACAGGGGTCTGTTGCGTTTATTAACACATAACTGAAAATATCTGGACTCTAAATCATTTCCTGAATGATTTATTACTGGTATTTCAATTTGGTGACTATTGCATGTCTAGGAAGAATTACCTCGTTAAATGAGGTAGTTATAATTTTGGAATTTACATTTCTGGGAATGGGGCGAAAACTTTAAATTGTTAATCTAGCCTGTCATTCTTAATTTTACAACTACTTCGTATGTAAGACTTATCCTGATATGTAAGAGAGCCATGACGTTGCTACTTGTACAAATACTGGCGAGACACAAGACGGAGGAATTCTCTATTCACTAGCTCCTCGACCGTTTCTAAGAAAAAAGCAAGCAGCAGACCGAAAGTGGAACGCTGATAGGAAAGGCCGGCGATTTTGTTGTGTGGCACTATATAAAATAAAGCATCACAGAATGTGTAATACTTACTTTACTTGTATATATTATTTTCTGCTGTTGAAAAATTAGGTTGTTAACTCAACTTGTTATTCTAAAAACCGTGCCTAGTGAAAGCCAAAGCAAACATAAAGTCAATATATCAAATTGAATCAGATCAATATTAAATTCTGGAGATGACATTTATCAGGACTCTGACATATTCAGAATCATAATCTATTTATTATTATAGACAACGTCAAAGAACACAAGAAGTACAATAATATGCTGTATAAAAGGAAAAGTCCTAACTCGACATCTGGATCCAGAGATACTCCATATCCTCTCAGTCAATTTGTCTTTGTCCGTTTTTCATTTTGTGTCCGTGTGTGTGCCCAATGGATGTATAAGGAAAAAATATTTTAATGCATTTAGTTTAAGCAAATTCGAATTTGATGGGAATCTGAATGGCATGGCTTGGCGGGTATTGGCAGGTTTCTTAAGGGAAGCCTGGCAATACAGATGGGCAATAGTAGAGGAGTTTAATTTTTAAATTTATGATTCTCCTATTTTTGAAGTGCCAATGCAACTTGTGAACTTTCTTTACTTAAAAATCTAACTATTTGTTTTTCTATATTTTTTTCAATAAATTGAGCTCTATTGTTTTATTGATTTAATTAAAAAATTAAACTGTATTATTTGTTGTTCAAGTAGCTTTTTGTTATTTTTCTCAGTTTTTATCGTGATATCTTGATTATCTATATATTTATATTACTTTTAAGAGAAAACTAATTGTAACTTTGTTCTTTCATGTGTATTCTGTTGCCAACCTGGCCGAGGGCCCTTCCGGCCAATGCCTAGAAGTGTTTTGTCTAGCAGATGCTCTGCGAAATATCTGTGAATGTAAAAACAAAAGCAACAATAAATCACTTATTCATTCATTCATATAAAAGGAAATGTACAATGTACTTGTCAGACTAACAAATATAACAGAGAATAAAACATAACAAATAACATTTAGTAACAATTAGTTAAAACTATGAAAATTTACAACAAATCACCAAAGCGTCACTGGACCAAAGCTCTTAAAGATCAAGTTAAACATTATATGCAAAAAATTCAAATGCATTGTCTAACTGACACTTAATAATTGGCAATATACATTAATATTATATTTTTTCAGGAAAGGATATAAGCAAAGAGACTATCAATACAATAAACGTAGTACATTGTATATGCCAAGGAAACGATCGTCAATAACGGACAAGTATTGGTTTTCTGATAAACCAGCGTTTGTGGACTTGTCTACTTTCATAGCATACGATGAGAAGCCACCAAAACAACGCAAAGGTATGTAATATTATTTATAATATTTGTTAAAATGGGTTTATAATTGTACCATATGAATTTATATTTATTCATATGGTACACATTGATGAGGGGCAAGCTGGTTTAGTGGTAGAGAATGGTTAGAGTTTTTTCTGGGTTCAAATCCTACCAACCGCCAATGGATTTGATCCAAGTGATAATGTTTCAACCCTCTAGGCCAAGCCTGAAATAACGCCTGAAATGGTTTCGGCTAGCTAGGATGGGAAGGCATAAAAATAGAAAATAGCCTGTGTTATTGAGTCAACTATGGGGATGGGGGATGATGAATTTTAAATTTATTAAAAGATTTATTGTTTTATTCAAAAGCTTTTTCTTTTGTGGAATTGCAATAATCTCGGTGTATGCCATATTGTTAGGTAGTGTGTTTCCTATTTTAAGTATCAAAAAACACTCCTCAATTAATTAATAAGGAAGAAAACTATAACAAATGTTTTGGAAAACCTCCCTGATTACATCTACGTTCCCCCAAAATAAAATTGGTGTGTATACCACTGGTGAAAACAATAATTTGTTGCTGAAGTAAAATTAATTTCTGCTGCTTTTGTTATTGTTAGCTTAAATCTTGGAATTATTATCAAAATTATTGTCAAACTCACAATATGTGTGATTCAAATCTGTCCATATAACTTGTTGTATTTTATTTTTTTCTTCAAACATGCTTACAACTTCAGATTATAGTGTTTTGGAAGCAATATTTATTTTACAAACCTTAACCCTTTGAGTCAAATTTTTTCATGTTTTCGGCGAGTATAGGTCCTCATTTGAGCAGTAAAGATCGCCATTGGACCATAAAGATAAACTTTTTTGATTTTTTTGTCGCCATTTTTGAGCAGTCAGGAAAATGGCGGGCGGCAACCTATACTCGCCATTAAAACAAAATCTAAAATAAAAATAGTTGACCTTTGCGTTTGAACGGTGAGTATAGGTCGCCGCCGCCATTTTCTCTTCTCCTCGAATGGTCACATACTCACCAAAAAAGAAAAAAAATTCAACCTCAAAGGGTTAACGGGTTGATTCATTTCTAAAAAAAATAGCATAAGAGAATATTTTATATTTTTACTGCCACATTGATCTTGTTTTCCACCAGATATGACTATGTATGAATCATTCATCGCAGCCATCAGAAACTGTACTCATCACAAGACTCTTCGCCCTGTTCATTTAGCTACTGAAGGCTCGGAAATAAAAGTGAACAAAGGATGGTTGATAGCGGCATGGTTAGTTATTTATGTTTTTTTACTTGGATACTGCAAGTAGAATTTTGTTTATATTCAAACCAGAAGCTTGGTTTTATGTTAATTTGGTTAAAATAGAAGGCATCATTCTTCACTAAATGTTTGTCTCTTATTTTTGTATAACTAAAAACAAGCATTAGATTTTAAATAGATATATTAAATCGTAATGAATAGATAGCGAAATAACAAAAAATAAATATAAGACAACACACTCTATTTTTACCTCATAAAACACCTTAAAATTTGTCATCAGTTGATATATTAAGGATGATTTTATTTAAAATCCATGGCTTTTCGGTGCCCTAATGTCTACAAATTCTGGTTTCAGTCCGTTCAGTGTTTTTTTAGCTTGATAACTCGAGAAAGAAAAAATCCGATTTTTATGAAATTTGGTACTAACGTGTAAACCTTCAATTCTAATGAGTTCGCAAACAAGCATGATTGGACTATAAGGGAAAAAAATTATTATTTTAGGGGGAAAATTTGGTTTTTCTTATTTTTAACCATAAAAACATAAAATTTAGCAACTTCTTTCCAAACCATTTGTTTGTATAGCTTATAAAAAAAAATTATATTGCAGCATTATTATGCGCCTAATGGCTACGGTGAAAATTCCAAAAAAATTTGTAATTTAATATTTCAACTTTATCTTATAGAAAAAATTGTAAACTGTTAAAATTTGCTTGTTTATGAGCATATTTTTATCAAATTTGCAAGCATTCAAATGCAAAAAAAATTCATTTCATACTAAACTATTAACATTTTACAAAAAAAAAAACACCTACCCTCCCTGTTGCAGCAAACCTAAGTACTCGTTAAACTAAAGCTATTTAAATAGGGAATAAATGTGGTACTTTTTAGGAGATATTTTAGAGTAAATTCAATCAGGCAAATTGAAATTCGCTTAGTCTTCAGGTTTGCTGTGGTGGGGGTATTTTGTTTTTTAAATCGGTTTCATTACAAAGATATTTTAACAAGCAGGGAGCTAACTAATCTTCCCTCCCCAATATACAGTGTATTTCTTCATTCATTCACTCAATAAAAGGATATCTTTAGGTAAACACCTATTCAACTAATATTCGGTAATTTCTTTCAGGGTATTTTCAATTCTAGTGATTATTATATGTGCATATCTTGTTATGCTATACAGTCTTAAGTTTGGGAAAGTAAAAAGCTTAAAATGGTTAAGCAGCCTGGTGGCAGCACAAGCTCAAGATATTTTCATCTTTTCTCCGCTGAAAATACTGATACTTGCCTTATTATTATCAGCTGCATTTGAGGTGAGAGGATTTGTATGTTTGACAGTGACATTAGATTTATTTCTATATTGTGTAAGAATATGGTTCGAAAACGGTCATGGTACCATTTAATTAATTACGCGTGCAAATTGTGTACAAGTTTAACGAATGTAATTTAAATATTAATGACAGGCCTCATTTTTAATCTAATAATTTATTTGTGTTAATCAAAACAAGGGTTGATTGATACATTGAATTTTACTTTTTAAAGGAAATAATCCATGAAGCATGTTTTAAAGTAGAAGCATATTTAAGGGTAAAATCACAGTTTAAAGAATTTTTTTATTTGTAAATAGTTTTACTTCACATTACTATAAAATATTGTTTAGCATACCTAATTCTACTGCCTTCTTGGTAGTTTGTTGTTGTACACTTTACCCTTTTAGCCTAAGTGTGCAGCAGGTTTTCAAATGAAGTATGTCTGTAAACCAAGTGAGATGAAATAAATTACTAGTGAAATCTGTGAACCAAGAACAAATTTTGACTAATATTTTATTGTTTTCTTCTTTAGAGAACAACTGACATTTCTGCGTTCAAACTTGATGTCAACAAGGCAGTTAAATGTGACCTCGTTGGAGATAAAAAATACTTGGATAATTTAATAGAGTACCGAACAAAGAGTATATACTACCCCATGACAGATGAAGTTAAAGCTGTAAGTAGATGGTGTTTAAAAAAATTCAATAATTTTATTTTAAATTACCATATATACAGGTAAGCACCATTAATTAAAATCAAACATAACTTAAATTGGTTGGTACAAAATATGAAAAGATTATAATACAGTACATTAGTGTAAAGAAAAATACAATTGAAGCAACTTAATGCATACCGGTAGTATCTTCTGGGGTTTAATTTTAGAATATGTAATTGTCAACTGAATCTTCTCCTTGAAATCACTATTGATTTGTTTCCTTTAACACCTATCATCTTTATGTGAGCTCTTTGGGGAACATTAGGATATGAACAACCCCTCAATGGTACTAATATTTAGAACAAAAAATACAGGGACAGAAATCCTGAATTTTTACTGTGAAAGTAAAAGCTTGGATCAAGTTAGTAAAAGCATACAGCCTAGTTACGTATGTTTTGTTTCGGAAGCTGTAAAAAATTTAATGCAAATGAACCCAAGACAATTAATTTTTTTAGAAAAAAAGAAGAAAGACCATGAGGAAAATGAAGTGGAGAATCATTTTAGATTTTCTCGCCGTGCTGACGTTTATATTGATTCTGTGCTACATTATGAAAATTCTGTGGAGCGGAGCGCACTTCCATCCTAACTCTCATGCTGCTGAGATGATGATGACCAAATATAACGGCCGATTTGTCGCACTGCAGGATGTTTACAATCGGACACAGTAAGTAAAATGGTGTTAGTTGAAAATTACAGGAAATTTACTCAAGTTTCTTTCATTGTTGATTTGAAATCCTATGTTTTGTGTGTTATTTTATGTATATTTAGTCTATGTTGATCCATATTCATTCAGATGCTAAAACATCTTGGAGGTGCATCAGTTTTTTTTTTTTTTTAACTAACATTTTATTTAGGAAAACTAATAAATAATGAAAATGAAGGAAAATAAGTAAATCTATGATATGATCCAACTCTTTCAATAATATGAAAAAATTTATTTAATTGTTTATACGACCTTACGGCCAATAATTTGCATTTTAATTGTATGTCCAGTCCACAAATGGCACTTTTTGGAAAAAGGGTAGGTCTTAAACTGTTTATGTGCTTCCGTGAAAGTTTATCGATCTTGAACTGTCTTTATTTCTGTAACGAGCAGTTTACAACAAACTCCCTAACGCATTTGAGGGGTATATGTAAGGCCGAATTTTGGCCTGATTTCTTTTTCCAGTAATGTCCAAAATAGTGTAATGCTGTCATTTCCACGGACATGCCCCCTCCCCTGAATTAGAAGGTATTAATTAACATATGTTGTTAGGGGTTAATACATCGTTTTTTTACAGATTCTTTACCTACCTACAGAACACTTTTGTGCGGTCCTTGTTTGTTTTTAGATGGTTTAATGATTTGAATTTCCAAACACTAAGTCCTCCAGGTATAGTGTGGCAATGCACCATTTTTTTTATTTATGTTCATTAATTTTTTACGTAAGAGTTTCAACTGAGAAAGCTTATGAGCTCTTTTTGTTTAACATTGAATTAAATTTGTTTTACGATAGAATACAAATTGTATTCCTTTATTCAATCCTTTTTGACAATGAATACAAGTTGAACTGTATTTCATTATATAAGAGAATGAAACACACATAGAAGGTAATTATTTCACAAGTTCTTCTACCACAAAATACACTTTGTTAAAGTAAATAGTACAAGCAGGCTAAATAATCTTATTAGCATTAAAAAAACTTTTTTGCTTTGTACTTCGTTGTTATTGTTAGGTAAAAGAGTTTTCCTTAAAATGAAACATAATAAATATTTAAAATCTTTGGGTGCTACATCAAAATAATCTACTCCCAGAAATGAAGTGAACAACTCTTGATGGAAACCTTAAAGAAAACGAAAACATACATGCTGTTCTTCATATGACTGTTATTATAAATGCATTAGTCAGTGTTAACTGTCAAAAGCTTAATGGAAACTGTCATTGTCTCATTCATTGAACAGAACACTTGTATGGATAATAAAACAAACTAAATTTCACTTTATTTGATGTTATGTACTACAGACGCTCCTGAAAGAAAAGACTGGACAAAGGATTTTGTATCCAAAATGGTGGGAGCGCCTCGACTGAGGCAGTTAAGAATTGTTGCCAGTAAGTTAAATTATATTGCTTGGTTGCTAGATAATTTATTTAACTGTCCCATAACAAAAATAATAAAAAGTATTCACTGTAATTTTCAGATTGTATCTCAACTTAGATAAGCAGCTGAGGTATTGGTATTTCAAAATTGGATCAGTTAGGGAATCATCGCACACTTGTGCCAAGAATATATTTTTTTTTAAAGCTTCTTTAAAAACTGTACTTAACAGAAAGCAAATCGAGTGGTTGTATTTTTTAGAGTAGAGAAATCGTTTACTGTATGTCTCTCTTAGTTTCAGATTCAGTCAAATGAAACGGAAGCCAGCCCCAACTTGGATTTCTAGGAGATACACCATTGATTATAGGTTTGAGAAAGCCCAAACCTTGTACCAACTGCAAGCTACCTACTTCTGATATTGGCCATTACATGTTTCTGCTGATAGAAGTGTGTAGCTTTTTGATGGTTTGAAACTAGACCCAGCTGTCCCAGATCATTGGGCTTTCAATAAATTATCCTGACTAATGAAACATCTGGTCTTAGTCAGTAACAAAGCTACACAAGCCATCTCACTCCATTCTACACTCATCCTTCGTTCATATTTGTTTTAAAATACACACCTAGGTGGAGTCCGATCTCAAATGATTATGATGAGCATATCCTAAACGTTTCTAAGGTCGTATTGACACTCCAATAGCAGACGATTAGTTTGCAACAGTGGTTATCAGGACTTGAGTCGACATTTAACTGCAATGTTTGATGTAATTCTTTGCATCATTGTTGAGTTAATTTACAAAAATATTGACTCTAGTTGAATTGTCTGCCAGGTTCCTGCGCAGTACATCACGTTATGGTAGTCGCTGTGCAGGATTGCATCCGACCGTGGAGTGAGGGCTACATGGACACTGACACTTACGGTGTCCAATGGAAGAAGGCGGACTTTGACGACGAGATTGCGTATGCTTGGGGTTACCGGACCTACTGGATGTATCAGGAGCCCAAGAACACCTCTGTGTTTCCATTATCTGGTATGGTCACTTTGACGCTTGCTAACCTAACCGATAAAAGCTAGGCCTACAATTTTTCAAATTTGAAATTTGTTTAAAGTAGTTTGTATTACTGAAAGGAAATTTTGGAAGGCTTGTGTCAAAGAATCAATCCATGGCTGTACAGACTTTACAGTTTTCACGTTGTATATTCGCTTATTCCTTGGCTGAGTGTCAATTTGATTTGTAATGAAATAGATTACCTACATCTTTTATATGACTTTAAATACTACTCTAGGTTGAAACTGGCGAGTCTAGTACTTGTCAGTAAATAATTATGAGGATAGAAAGAACTATGGTTCAAGCACAGTGATGTGTCAAAATAGTGGTTAATGTTTTAGTCAGTTTTTTGGTATAGGTAGTTCTTGAAACTGTTTACAGTAAAAAAACGTTTTCTAAGAATGGGAATGAGATTCATTATCACAAATATAATCACGTGCATACTTACATATCAAATGGATTATGTCATGGGTTGGTCATATTTCGATTTAACAGCATCATACCACAATGATTAGCACATCCGTTTGGTTGCCACTACCTTGATTGGAAAAAATTCTATAATCCTTCAAATGTGATTTCAAAATTCAATTTTATTTTTGTATACGTATGTTTTCCAGTGAAAAATGTTTGTTTGGTTGAAAAATGCACACTTTTGTTGAGTCAATTTACATTTACTGGATAGAATGCTGTAGTTTTACAAATTATAAACAAAATCCAAGAACTTCTTAAGATTACTTAGTAGTTTAAAATTATTTCACAATTAAATCAAAGCTTTTGAGTACCATATTTAAACTGTTCTTTATCTACGTTGCCTATATCTTCACACATACAATTCCAATACATTGAGAGTTGCTGACTTAAAAAAATATATTTAATAATAAATAATAAATATTTTTATAGGGAAATCGGGAGTTGTCTATCCCTCCGGAGGGTACATTCTACCTCTTGCCGTCAAGAGAGATCAGAGCAAATCGTACGCAATCCAAGTGGAGCAGGAACATTGGGTCGATCATCGTACAAGAGCCGTGTTTCTTGAGCTGACGCTGTACAATGTAAACAACAACTTGTTCAGTCAAGTTACGGCGATCATAGAACACATGACCTCTGGGCTCTTCATGACGCTTGCGAACGTAAGTGACAGTGTAATATTTTTTAGCTGTAGCCTGAAATTGTTTTTTTACATTACTTCAGGCTGGACCTAGAGGTTGCGGCATTTTTTACTTAGATAATATCTATTGATGACTGATGGGATTTGAACCTGGGAGCTCGGGGACCGAAGTCTCGAACTCTTCCACTTGACCAGCTTGCTCACACAGTGGAATATTAAGAATGAATTGTGTTTTCACGCCAATGATATTCATAAAATTTTTGTAATAGAACTGTAAAAACTCTGGTTGTTTTACTACCTACTTTACTTGAATTTAGTTAGATATCATCATTGATTAGCCAATGAGGCATCAGAAACCAGAATTTACTACACTTAGGATCGAACCAACAACCTTTAGATTTAAAGGCGAGTATTACCCACTTGGCTACTCAGACAATTCTAAGACAGACTAATGTGATCAAAAGAGTGGAAAGAAAACAATTGTGGGTAAAAAATGTAAATCACTAGTAGTGTTACCGATGCTTTGGATTGGTGGTACTTGGACTTTGGATTTGGTAATGGACTTAGGTTCAAGAGCCATTCAAAGCTATTGTTCAAAACAGCTACCCTATCACCTCTGATTACAAAAGAAAAATGGTATATTCTCTATTACCATAATTCCGTTCAAATGTTGGAAAACATAGGTTTTACAAATTTATATTTTGTTTCTTGATTGAAAGTTTACCATCATTAGGCTATTTGCACACACACCGGATTTTTACCGGCGAAACGATCAGTTGATTTGTTGTTCAAGGACAAGACCAGATTTTTACTAATTACCCAATTAATTATTAATTATTTAATTTAATTTATTAATTTGGGCCTAATTTATTAATTTATTTAGTAATTAGATTATACTAATGAATCCTAAAAGAGTTGTTGCTATGTGGCTATTGTATCGACGTATTAAACGCCATAGGATTAAACCATTGACTATTTTATTGTACTATGTATAACCATGACTATATTGTACGTTCTGGATTCATCCAATTAACCAAAGCAGAGAAAAAACAGGAACACTCCAGACTCTACACACTTTTTGAAGAACTAAGGCTTGATAGCAGTAAAATTTTCAACTATTTCAGAATGTCAATAGCATCCTTATTTATAAAGTCACCCATTTTAAACATTATAAAAACGCACTACCAAAACTAATTAAAATTTTCAGAAGAGCAGTCGCCTTAAATGGAGGATGGTGTAGCAAGAACTGCCGATACGATTGGTAAAAAATCAGTGCGCGTGCAAGCTTGTATTAAGTCACGTATGTCACTGCGTCGCCGGCATATCCCCGGCACTGGCGGTATGCAGTGGCAGTGGCCGGCAGCTCAATGGCATTTTACCGGCGCTGATCAACGGTCGGCGTGTTAGCAACGTCTCGTTCCCGCCTGTGGTTCACTATTGGCATTTGGACGACCGGTAAAAAATCGGTCGTCCATTATCGGTGTGTGTGCAGCGAGCCTTAGGCCATCACAGATGGCATAGTAATAACATAATAATAATCATAGTATATTGGTGGTAACCCTTTTTTAGGACAGCTGTTGATGGCAACCTTAGGGACATAGAGAGAATCTTTAACATAATTTTTTACAAATTTTTAGATTTATGTTTATATACAGAGCCATAATTCATTGAAATGTAAAGAAGTTGTACCTGTCATACTTACTATACAAGTAAATAATTGTTTTGTATTATTTAGAAGTAGAGATTTACTAAAAATGTTTTTTATTACTTCCAGGTGGATTCGGTACACACAAAAGAAGATTTCAGTGTTTGGAACTTAATTTACATAGTCTTCATTGCTGCTTTGGCCTTACGAATCGCTTACAAAATGAACAGAAATGGATTGTTCAATTTTTTCAGGAATTTTCTAAACATTTATGAAGTACTAGTTGTGGCTGTTGGAGTGCTAAGTGTAATATTTTATCTGATTCATACGAAAGTTTCTACTATTTATGTAGAGGAATTCTACAGGGAAGGGCTAGATTTGTTCTTCAATTTCGAAGATATGATCAAGTATTTTCGGTACACCAAGGCACTTTTGTGGATACTTTTCTGTTTGTTGGTGTTTCGGTTGTTTGTGAGCTGGCATTTTGGTGAGAACTACTTCTACTATTACCACACGTTTGTGTTTTCTTTACAATGGATTGTCATTTTGTTGATTTTCTTGTTGTATTACTTTTATTTAGTCTGGAGAATGATTGGTTACTCCATTGACGGAAAAGTTTTTTACAACAGCCGTGTGAATATTCTACACTACAAAATGTACAACTGTATATACAAACGAGATTTCCACGATCGAACAAAACTGATCGCCTTTGTACTATGTGTAATGGCGTTATTTTTTAAAGTAATTTTCTTTGTGATGTTCACCCACTACTTCCAAATAGGAAAACGGAAACGATTACTTCCAATGGAATATTTCAACTTTTTCACTTTTTTTGCTGAAGAATTTGGACGATGTTTCGGGAAGAAAAAAGAAGAGGAATTTGCAACTGATAGACAAATACATAGGAAGAGAGATGTTAAAAGTTCAAAGAGGTCTACCATATATTAATTTTTCCACCCCATAGTTCTGGTGGTATATTTATGCAACCTTTATCATTTTTGTATTATAATAGCTAAAATTTAAAATAAAATACTTCTATCCATAGTTTTTAATGTATATAGAAAATGGGTTAGCTGTATTTAAGGTAATCCTCAATTCAAGTTTAATTGAATATAAAGAAAACCTAATAGAATTCAAATTTCAGCTTTAACTGACTAAACCTTGAGTCTAGGCCTGTGTTATAAACACTTATTTAAAAACAAAAAACTAAGGCTCTCTAAAGTCTTTACTGTCCACCCCTACATATCAGACACCCACTTTTTAGTGGGATTTTTATCACTCCCCCCTGATAAAACCTGTTAACAATTGACAGGTGTGTGTGTGTGTGTGTGTGTGTGTGTGTGTGTGTGTGCAGAAAGGGGTTTGAATATGTAGAAAATGTGCATAAGTATGGTATAGGTATAGGATAATTGTAGAAGGATGTTGGCAAAACGAGGCCCGCAGTGGGAATCGTCATTAGTTCCAAGGTAGTGATTATAAATTTTAGGAATCTGGTGATTGGCTGATTGACGTGATTAAGGCTACAAAGGTTTACGTCATTCTGCTCGTTCTGCTCGTCGTTGTCGAACTGCTTAGTACTGCGGGGGCGTTGTAGAACCCCGAGCCCCTCATACTCAACCATCATGGGGTTCCCGAGCACCTGGCTGTTTAACAATCTGGCTGTATAAACCAACCTACTATTAAAATATCTCCAATGTTATAATATCTAGTCAATGTTAAATCAAACTCAGATAAATTAAAGGCCATTCAGTTACTAATAGAAAATCATCCACCTTCCAAATTAACATTTAAATTTAGAAATGTTTCAATTGACGAGTTAAGAAAAGTTGTTACATCTCTCGGTAACACTAAGTCCTCAGGTTGGGATGAAATTCCTCTTTTTGTCATTAAAAGAGTTTTTAAATTTATAGAACATCCATTATGCCAAATAGTAAATCAGTCCCTTGAGGAGGGGGTTTTTCTGATAAGCTTAAGTTTGCTGAGATTAAACCCCTGTTCAAAGAGGGCGATGTCAACGATCCCTCTAACTACCGCCCCATTGCCCTTCTGCCTTGTTTTTCAAAAATTTTTTAAAAAATTCTAAAGATTCAACTAGGTAACAGAATATTTAGAAAGCAATAATTTAATAAATCCTTCGCAGTTTGGTTTCCGCCCAGAACTTGGTACTGAGAAATATATAACAAAAATGATTAACTGTATTGCCTTGGATGGATCGCAGAAGACTGTGGGTGTGCTATGTGACCTATCCAAGGCTTTTGACTGTGTGAATCATAAGATACTCATAGAAAAATTAAGTATGCATGGAATAAAAAATACTGAATTAAAATGGTTCATATCATATTTAAAAAACCAAAATCAAAGACTTATTGTACAAAAAATGCAGAGAAATTATAAATCAGAGTGGAACATTAACCCCAATGGAGTTTCTCAGGGCTCCATTATTGGCCCTTGTTTATTTATTATATATGTTTATGATCTATGCAATGCTACTAAGATGTCCACCTTTCAATACACAGATGATACCGCTTTAATTTGCACAGGACAAAACAACGAGTTCATACAAGCCTCAATAACTCAGGAATTTCAACTCCTCGGGGACTGGTTTGCAGTAAATGGCCTGTCCATGAATGTGGCAAAAACTCAACTAATTCAGTTTTCTGCATCCAATATTAACCAAGAAATAATTGTAAATACGAACTTATATAGGCCTAACTATAATTCATTCACAACAGTTAAAATTATTTGGGAATAGAAATCGATTCACAACTAAATTGGCAAAAACACATTAAAAACCTATCAAAAAGACTACGCTCAGCAACATTTGTTCTCACAATAATTCGGGATACTACTAATCTAGAAACACAGTAGTACAGTAGAACCTCTTTAATCCGAACTAATTGGGACCGGGGGTAGTTCGGACTATTGAATAGTTCGGATTACAGAACATGTTGGTTTTTACACAACAATAGCTAGGAAAAGTGAAAAATGCTTTATAAAGTAAAATACAGTGTTTATTTAATACAGTAGTAATCATAGGCAATAAAAAGTACTGTACATTACAATTGAAATAATTACGGTGCGTATATCAAATACAGTATACAATAAAGAACTACTGTACTGTGTATAGAGTACAGCAATGAGGCGCTCGGATTACAGGGGTTCGGATTAAAGAGGTTCTACTGTATATCACACATATTTTTCATCGATTATGAATTATGGAATTACTGTATGGGGCTCATCAAGCCAGTCCAAAAAATATTTATTCTCCAATAAAGAGCTGTAAGATTAATGGCCAGAGTCCCCTGTAGAATACATTGTAAAGATTTATTTATTCATTTTAAAATTTTAACCTTTTTTTAGCTCTTATATTTACAAATTGGCATTAATGGTTAAAAGTGATTTCGACACATTCATGGACTGTCAACAATCTCATCCACATAACACAAGAATCAAAAATATTATATAAACCAGTTCAACTTAGGCTTAAAATCTTTCATTTATCCCCTCAGTATATGGGGCCAAAAATTTACTATAAATTACCTGCTGGGATTAAAAACATTGCCTCATTCTCTAAATTTAAACTATCTTTAAAATATTTCCTTTTGGAGAGGGCAGTTTAATGTTAGAAGAATATCTGGAAGATGAGTACCTATATTTGAAAGATATTACATCTCCCATAGGTGTGTAGCTTTATTATTTGCTTTATTTCTTTTGTAAGCTATTTTATTATTTAGACTTTGTGACAAATCACCTGTCAAGAGAATTGATGTAATGTGATGATGTTTAATAAATAAATAAAGAGGCTTCAGCTGGTTCTTCTTTATAGTGACTGTGTTGATTTTCGCTCTGTGAATAATTAACTTTTTTACGTATTTTTGAGCTCGAGCTCTCTTTAAAGTCGTTAAAAGTTTAATTCTTTGTTTGTTCTTTGTAGTTGTTTCATAGTATCGTGAAAATTGTTAAATTAAACCATAAAACTGTGTTCAAACATAAATCTAATCTACAAGCTACTCCTGTTACAAGAATGTCAACATCTAATGTAAACAAAGCTAAGTATAATAATGTACAACAAACAAAAAAAGTTCCTTGCTATGCCTTTTGATGAAAATATAAGTGATCCTGATGATGATTTTGTCTTTCCAAAACGTAAACTTACCTTTTCTTCCTCTGGATCTCAACTGAAATGATATGTTTTAGATTCAAGTGAACTATGTAAAGGCAATAAGTTTCCAATTCTATCTGAACATACTTATAGTTCTAATGGTAATGGTAATGAATTGGTTCAATCACACGAGATGGATGATTCTACTTTGGAAAATCAAGTAAATGACCCTAAGTTAAAAATCCCTCCTATAGCTACACGACGTGAACAACCACCAAGAAATAATAAAAGATGTCCGAAATATGGTAAAAGCAACTTTTTCAACTCAAGTTAGAGGGCAGTCCCTTAAAGTGAACTTGTCTAACATAGAAGACTTTAGAAATTTGACAGTTTTTTATGATTCTTCCAACATCAAATATCATAATTTTCAAACCCTACATGACAAAAAACTAGAAGCGATTGTCAGAAACGTCCCTACATCATTATCTGAGAATGAAATTAAAACTGAGCTAACAGATCAAAACTATCCTGTCATTAGAGTCACTAGATTACTCAACAAAAACCAACTTCCACTCCCTCTTTGTGCAGTAGACTTAGAAAACAACGACGACGGCAAAGCTATCTTTAATTTAACCACAATCTGTTTTGCAGTTGTAAGTGTCAAAATGAAAAGGAATCTAGGCAAATTCCCCAATGCACTCGATGTCAACGCTATGGACACACAAAGAACTTTTGTAAGCTGGACCCAAGGTGCGTGCGGTGCACTGGTCAACATCACTACTCTGAATGTCCGAAACATTAAACTGCAGCTCCTCAATGTGTTAATTGTGGTGAAAGCCACACAGCTAACTACAGAGGTTGTCAAGTATATCAGAAAATAACCAATAAAGATCTCAATCGGGGTAATCCTCACAATCACCCTCAAAACGCTACTGAGAAAAAAGAAAATACTCCTTCCCCCCTGATTTGAGTTCTGCTACACATTTTCCTCGAATTCATTCAAACTTTTCGCCTCAGGAACCTTCTACATCACGAGTTTCATTTGCTAAAGTTGCTGCTACGAGCCACCGCAACACGAATAATTCATTCTCACAAGAACAATCTGATGATGCTCCTGATACGTCTGTGTTTCAAAACTTTGAACAAATAATCCTAGATGTGGTGAAATCGTTCATTCCTACTCTCAAAAAGATAATAAGTAATGTGATAAGCTCTTTTCTCTCAAATGGATCAGATCAATTATTTTCAAATAAAAAAATTAACCCTCCTTAACTAAAATGCCAAAGGGCTTAAAGATAAACGTGCTACTTTTATCGCGTTTATGGTTAAACATTGCATTGATATTGCATGTATTACTGAGACACACCTAACCAATGTGGAAAGTTTTAAAATTAATGGGTATTCTATATACAGGGAAGATAGGCCTAATCCAAAAGCTTCAGGTGGCGTTGCAATTTTTGTGCGAAGAACTTTGGACCTTCATAATATATTTTTACCTCGTTTATCTTCGGTAGAAGCTGTTGGTGTAAAAATTAATTTAAGTCATGGTGCAGACTTTCGCTTAGTTTCTGTCTACTAACCCCCGAACAAACGGCTCCACAATAATGACTTGCAGGTGCTGTTTGCAGAAAATTGTTCGACTGTTGTTATAAATTGTAAACATCAGATATGGGGTTGCAGAACCACAAATCCAAATGGAAACTGTTTGTTACGACTCACAAATAACTCAAACGTAATGATTGATGCGCCACAAGAACCAACACTTTTTCCATTGCAAACCTAATTATCAGCCAGATATACTTGATTTAGTTCTGCACAAGAACTTTACAGCTCCAATCATTCAAAATGTTGTACCCGAGCTGGACTCTGACCATTCTCCCGTTATAATAACCTTCTTCACGCAACCTCAATTCAGTTGTGCACCTCAACGATTAATTATTGG